TTTACTGAGGAGCTTTTCATTCCCCATGGAAACTCGACCACGCGTTGTACAATAAATAATAGAGCTGAATAAGCGCAATGGGAGTAACACAGGCTCAAAAAATCTTCACTTAATCCTTTAACGTTTAAAAATCTTGATTGGCGGGAATTTTTCTTTTCGATAAACGAATCTGTTGAAATTATTTTTCCTTGTATGTCTGGTGGTGTCGATAGCGGCATTTCCGTTGGAATCGGACCCGCCAATTTTCTTTCAGTGAATAGTGATTAAATAATACAAGTGAGAATCCAGAACCAAAAATAGAAAATCGGTGGCTTGCTTGAATGACAACAAAAATATTCGAAAGCTGCAGCAGTGACCGGCGCCGTGCAAGACGAACGACAAATCCAGAAGATTTGACTAACGACAAATCTCCAATTCTGCTATCGACAGGTCGGCCGAAGGATTTCAGTATTGGCGAATATTGTCAGCTTTCAGAAAATAATCTCAGAGCAGCAGCTTGGAAGAGTCTGCCTGAGCGAAAAAGAAGGAATTTTGTAACACAAGTTTGACAGTATCTCGCACTCTTAAAACGAATGTTTCGTCATTTTTACATGCGCACAAAGCATCATAAATATCACGCACAAAGTAGTACAGTTTCCTTTGTTCGTCGGTCCTAGGTCACTTCACTTCAAGCCATGATTCGCGCAAAAGCTGTTCAAATTAAAGAGTTCAGCCATAATCTAAACTGTTCTAATTCTCTCTTCGGATCTGACTCATGTCTACGTACTATCATGGCCACCGTCATACCTGAAAATACATGAACTGCATAAAACATTCTTCAATACATTTTTATACAAATACGATTTTGCATGGCACTAATTAGCCTCGCTAAATTTGTGCCATGCAATCATTGTTAGCAAGAACGCACTATACTAATGATGGATTGCTCTTCATATTACAAAGCAAGAAAGCAAGAAAACACAACAACACTCATGTTATCGTAGTCAGCACTCCCTACACCAATGCTGCCATGCTCTCCGTGTAATCTTACCAAAGTAGGCTACCAACACCACAAGCACTCATATTAACAACCGTTGTGTTAATAAAAACTCACTGTCCCTGTCCTAATGCACTAGCACTCATTGAGTCTCATTCACTCCGCACTCCGGGAAACTTCGTGTAATACCCTAGCAAACATTCACACGTCTTTTATAATCTTGCTGCACAATCATGCACTCCTTGTTATCGTAATAAAGTATTCTCAAGTATTCATCACTCTATTCAAACTTGGAGTTTTCTCATCCATGTATTCATGAGCCAGCAGTGCATTCTTGTTAACTCTCACTCATACCAAATGCTAATGCTCTTCAGGACAGTGAAAGTTTGAATGGATGACTCTGTTTATGATGTGTCGTAATGAAGAATAGTTGAAGTCAGGTTTACTCGTTCTATAAACGGAACGACTTAAAGCTATCCCAAGATGTTTTCTCTCTCGGAGCAATCACGTTAGGAACACACGCCCTTAAAATTATCTCAAGACAATGTCACATTTGAGATGTTGCAAGACGGCATCCATCAGCAGCAGATTACCACACGCCAGACAGAACGGCTGTCATATCTCAAGACAGAGGCTGTTGGTATCCACGTTGGGAGGTTTACCTAACCGACTGACGGCAGTTGCTGCAGGCGCGCTCTTCTGTCTTCGAAGTATCACCTTTAAACGTTTAATCTTGCCTCAACTTGCATTGTTTTTCTCGTGAATTGCTTCCACGCAACGACAAATACAAAAATTTTTTAACCCTAAAAATTTTGATTTTAACCAACATAAAAAGAAGCTGAGTAAAATAAATATATATTACAGGAATTTTGGGCACTGGGTCGTGACCGAGTAAAGCTGTCGTGACAATTATTTTATTGAATAGAGCAATTGCGTTCACTTTAATCTAGGAAATATGAACAGTTAATTACTAATTTATTAGACCTCAGCGCTGCGCTGCAAAAACAGCAAAAGTTAGAATTAAGTTACCATCATTACGTTTTTTCCTTCTCTGATGCCTTAATGATAGCAATTTGCCTCTATTTCTATCTGTATTTGGATGTGGTGCCAGCATTCAACATATTTTTATATCGCTTATTAATGTTCCTTCAATAAACTTGTGTGAAACAAAGAAAGGTTTCCCAGATTTAAATATTAAAAATGAAGTATAGTTCACTAAAACAAATTAGACCAGAGATGATTAGGGATGGAATAACTCAACTCACGTAGCCTATCACTTTCAGGTAAAAATGATTAGATTTGAAGTCTCCCAGACAATTTGTAATTATATCACAAATTTTTAATTGAAGCAACTGTGTTCTCAACTTTAAGTGTACACTATAAATGGTGCTCTCCGAAATTCATTAACTAATCGTTTCAAACTGTCAGATAACTACACACAAACGAATAACCAGTCTCGAAGTTAGTGTTCGGAAAGCATTGTGTGAAAATCACAGATTCTTGCATTCTCAGAAAGTCAGAACATTACCACCCTCGCCCGTAGTCAAGAGCACACTGCCTCTCTGACGCCTCCAGTGTTGCCAGGTTTTTTCTTGGCGAGAATACCAGATTGCCTAGCCGAAAATACCAGAAATATACCAGAAATTCTATCGTTCAAAAACAGACTAATACCTCCAAATTTAATAAAACTATTCGTCAGAAACGTTGGTTAGAAAAAAAATTATCTTATGTACTGTGCAGTTATCTGGCTTGACGATAATTAGCCAAATTGAACACGTTATATATTTTTCCCCTCTGTTTATTTGGAACATTTTGACACTCTTCTTTTCCTGTGTTTGATTACATTGACACTTTTTCCTCTTCGCTCAACATGAGCAAGCCACGGAAACAGGTCATCTTCATTTTGCTTATTTTCGTACATGCTTGCATATTGCACTAATCTAACATTTCGGGTGTGGTCACTTGCTGCGGTTGAGCAGATAGCTTTTGGTCCGAATAAGGGACGCCAGTACCGTAGTTGAAATTTTATTCCGTTGCTTGTTTTTCACAGAGGTGACTTGTGAAAACACTTGCACCACGAATGCTTTGGAGACAGGTCAAAGTAGACAAGAGATGCAGTAGGCAGCCAGTTCTATGAATGGATGATAATTGTCAAGATCAGTGAAATATTGAATGGTACCCCAGAATTCAAGCGGCACTCCAATAAGTGGCACTCTAGAATTCAAAACCACCAAACAAAAATGGTGGAGCTAGCGTCGCAGAGATCGGTTCGACATCCTCACTCGTCCTAGGCCATATCATCAGTTCATCACTGATCAGTAATCAATCGAGGATCATCACTCTCATGCTCATATTGCACTAAGCACTTTTGTTAAATGTTAACAATTAAATTGGGGTTATTTTATCAAGCGGTAAACTTGTGGTTCCAAAAATGGCGGCAAACCTCTAGTCGCGTCACTCTGATGGTAATCTATATAATCCACGCCTACGTTGGAGGAAATTCAAACTTCAGAGGTGGAACTTAATGCAGTAAATTTGCAGTAAGTCAGAAAATACCAGAAAAATACCAGATTTAGGCAAATATACCAGATCTAAAATGTTCATACCAGACACCTTTTGAAAATACCAGATTTGTGAAATCTGGTATAGAAATATACCATCTGGCAACGCTGGACGCCTCTGGAACCTTTGTAAGCATGCGTCAAAGCTTACCCTCAGGGGCGGTTAAAACTAGACTTGAAGGGTGGTGATCCTGGGGCCATACTTTCAAAATTCGCTAAGTGAACGTAAGTGCTTACGCTCTATTTTCTTGTCTATGATTGGTGGATTTTGCTTGAAAGACCGTCAATGATTGGCTGATGAACTTACGATCTCTCAACTTTTTTTGAGAGTATAGGCTCTGGAGGCTAACGGTAGAGGTTTTAAAACAGCAAATAAACTATTACAAAAACTTGAGTTCTGTTGCTAATTGAGTGCAAGTGCCTGTAGAGAAATAAATTGAAAACTGAAAAGTGAGATGATGGATGCACTATGGAGGATGCTTGAATGCAATCTTACTATTTAAAATAAATTGGATTTCGTACAAAAAAGATCGCTCCAACGCTAATTAGGCGAATTTTCAGCACCCATTTTTACATATAAATTTTTCAATTTAGAACCGATCTCGACGTAATTACAATGAATATTTATTTTCTGCAGCCGGTCGCACGGCCAAACTCCAAATTCAGTGAACAAGGAATATCTCTCAGAGGATTGAACATCGCTCGATGAAACTTGGTACACGTAGAGCGTTGCAGAATTTTTGGTCCACTCAATTTTTACGTTTCCTCCAAACGTTAAGTTTCAGCACCCATTGCAAGCTTTGCACACGTAACTAATTTACTTCAGCGTTTAGAGCGCTACGCGATAACCGGATAACGAAACGGGCAAAAACACTCATATTGAGCTCGCTGGGAAATAATATCAATAAATAGATTTGCTGTTAACTATGTCATAATCGGTTTTGATTTAACAAAGTTATGTGTGGAAATTATGTTAAAAAATTTTATCCCAAAGATTCGTGTCCAAAATTTTGATGCAAAAATGATCGAACGATGCGCAACAGCTCTCTCAAAGTGTGCTGCTGCCAGAGTGCGCTGTACAACGCAGCCCAAAACTCCACCCGAAATTCGGCCTTAATTAAAGTGCACGAACGGTAATGACAGTAGCCATTCATAGGTGGAACGAAAAATTTAATATGACTGTATTCTTTTGCTATTTACTAATATGATAGTTAAAAAAATCCTTTACAACCCTACTGTAAATAGATGAAGTTGGTTGAATCACTGTAAAGTTTTCAGTGGTAACACACGATTAGGTTTTCTTATTTCGAAAACTAATCGTAGAAATTCTAAATGAAACTTTCAGTTTTTCTCTTAATATTTTTTATTAGAATAACCGAGCCTAATTATGAATTTTTCCCTTAGATGTACCTGAACACGACATATGACTGAGTTAGTCATTGACCTCGAAGAGCCGGGATGTATGCATGTCACTTATTAACGTAACGTGCTAGTGAACTGTTCTGTTTTTTAGAGTCTATTTTAAGTTCTACTGTTCAAGATCACTTCGTACAAAGTACGAAAATGAGGTGAGTTGTCGAGTGTACTAATAGTTTACATGTGGACTAGCACTATGTATTATGGCCCGTTTTTACTCAAACTTCCCTACGTGGTACGTGCGCTGTACGTTCGTTGAACTTCCAGTATTGCCTACAGGTGGGGTCTAACTTGAAGGTAGACGGCAGTAGGTAATAGGTATTGTGGCCCACGTCGGTATGGTCCTCAATAATCTCGCGGTTGGGAAGCCCGATAGTCTAATCAAACTGTAAATAACCATAGACTAAATCCAGAATGTAGGGGTATCTACCTATTACCAGTAGTATATGGTAGGTATGTTAACTGCCAACGTGAGTGTTTATGTGGAAGAAATAGCCGAGATGGAACTTGTCTGACGCTGAGTTTGACCAAGTCAGTGTCACATGGTGATATTTTTCAGTAGGCCGTGTTATGGGAAGCATGGTTCGTATGGTAAACAGATTTATGAGAAACTAAAGTTTCGAAGTTACCGGTACTAGGTATCATGGCTTCCCCAAAAATTGGGATATGGGAGTTCAATATGAAAAACGCCTTCAACATTTGAACTGATGTTTACCAACATGATCTGCAATGCCACCCATTGAAAGTTCTTGCTAGGGCACAAGATTAGAGAACCAGCAGGACTGCAGGAGAATTTCCCTTCCAAATGCTTACCATGGGTGTGAAGACTTGATGTAAATTCTAGTTCGAATGTTTGATAAGTCTTTCCTAGTTAGGCTAGTTTTATATATACGGGTCAACTGTTGATGAAAATCTGCAGAATCTGAGCTACCTAGTCTAACCATAGGCATAGATAGGGTGGTGTTGGTGGTCACTGGTGCTGACTTGTGAGTCATGACAGTTGATGAATTTGATTTTGGATAGGCTTAGTAATAACTGGCTTGGAAAATTGAGCTGGCCATGTTGGATGTAAAGGATTGAGAAGAATTTTCTTTGTGTTACACAGAAGTAGATTAGCTATATTTATTATTTTTCAATCATTGGTAAATCTTAGTTATAATTGAGCCATGATTGATGATTTGCTGCCTCCAGTTAAACCTAGGTTATAATATACAATCAATATTGTAAGCATTCACATCTCCATTTAGAAATGGAGCATGCAACAGGGCCATAGCTTTTGGGTTACCTTTGAAGCATGTTACAAGTGTCAAGTTGTAAACGGTTTTTGTTGTGAATACTTCATTGAATATATCCTATGCTATATGATTTACGAATACTCTTGAATGAGTGTTGGAGTTACCCCTCCTGTGGCTTCATTGTCAACCAGGATATCTACATCTCCTGGAATCAGAAATGTCATTGATATTGAGACATTATCTTAACTAGGGCATATGATAAAGGATAACTAGATTTTCTGCAGAACTGTAGTTACACAGTGAAATTGTGTGACTGATGTGGGACAGGCATGTTTTCCCTTGAAATCTTGTATCATTGTGTGAAGAACTTGTTTCTCATGGTCTGCACATTGCCACTTGACAGATTTCTCCTTTTGAGCACCCTACCTTCACTCTTCTTATGATATCTAAGATAATGTTTGAAATGTTACCTTTCCAAACTTCCCCTTATTAGACTAGAAAAAATGAGATCTGATACGGATTACTAGTCAACAGCTTGTCATGGTTCACCCTATTGTGAATGCTGGACTTAAATGTATCCTCCCTCCTTATTCAAACTTTCAATATAATGATAAATGTCCTACCTAATCCAGTGTGGGTTCTAAAAAAGTAGTACTTTTTTAACTGAATGAGTGTACTGACAAGTTTGTGCCCTTAATTCAATACTTTAACCTAACCCTCAAACCATTTCTTTCTAGTGGGTCAGCTGAAGAAAACATGGTCGCTGTCAAGGAAACCTCTAGTTCTAGCTCAGAGAGGCCTCTGGCAGGCTCCGTCCTCCCAGATGAGTCTAAGCAGTGCCAAAGTGAATCTGGATCTTTGACCAAAGCAGTGCATGCTGACGATGCGGATAGGCGTGATCTCACTGAACCGAGAAACATTGGAGCCGATCCTGCTGGTGACTGCAAAGATAGAGAGAAGAAAGATTGCCTGGATTGTCGCAACTGCCAGTGCCACAAGGGCTGTGCCTCTGAGAGCATCAAAAGGAGGTGTTCCACTTCTGACATTGCTAGCATATTAGCCGCTAACCCTTTCCCACTTAAGAAAACTCTGACCAGCGGCAAAAGCCTGGAAAAAATAGACCGCATAAACTTGGCCAACCTAGTGTTCAACCCAAATTTCAAGAACAGCGCCGGTTGTGTCAACCTTCCCGTTATCAGAGCTGGGCAGAACTTGGCGCAAAAGAATGCACAGCGTTCAACCTCTAAAGATGTCAACAACAACCTTCCCGACTTGAACCAGCAGGCCGCTATGGATTTGTTGGCCCAACAACTTCAACCTCAGTCTCTTGACAAACTGAACGTCAAACTACAGCAGTTGGCAAGACAGAGGAGGCTTGGGTCAGGATCGGCATCCGACCTTGATACCGGGAATGACGTGTCTGACTTGCTTCAGAGCCTTGCTGCAAAGAATTCAGGGCCTAACCAGAACAACGCTCTGCGCTACAAGACCGAGCTCTGCCGCAGCTACGAAGAAGGCGGAGAATGCAGGTAGGTCATCGTAACATAAGGTTAAAGGATCGTGAAACCCTTAAGGTTTTAATTATTTTTGACTCTGATGTATGCGTGGATGATGAGCTGGAATAAAATGTGCTCTTGGAACGCTGTGCTGTTGGCACATTGTCTTGACAGTGTCTGTTGGAAGGCTACCAGGGTGTCTAGTCAAAAGAGCAAATTTGCCGAAAGAGCTTGATAGAAAAGACTAGTTAATAGGTAAATATTCTTTGGATCCGTTGACTCTCCCTACGCAGGGTCAAATGTGAATGCTTTGGTTCGTGTTAAGTTAGTCTCGGCTAGGGCTATATTTGTTCTTTGATTTTTTAACCAACTTGTAACAGATTTGGTGCTGCCTGCACCTTCGCCCACGGGCCAGAGGAGCTCAGGCCTGTTCCTCGCCACCCGCTTTACAAGACGGAGTTTTGCCGCACTTATCACCAGCATGGCTACTGCCAATACGGCACGCGATGTCACTTCATCCACGACATCGAAGAGGCCGACCGTAGTGCCCCTCTTAGGTATGGCTGAATGTCAGGGTATAAAGTTTCAGTAGGTTGTGAAATCTTAAGAGGCTAGACAGCAGGAGAGACCTTACTTGGCAGAAGGTTGAATACCTTGCCGATTAGTTGCACGTTTATGTGCTCGTCAAAAACAAAAGAAAATTAGATGCTCATTTCTAACTTCGAACAATTTTTCTTTCGTAGCGGCTATTCCACTTCAATACCATAGTTATATTAATGGCATAATTGCGATAATTTGGCTTTTCCATAATTGTAAAGGATAATATACGCTCTGCTGCCATATTTGCCTATAGGCAGTTTATTAAACGTAAGCTTGTGTAGTTCTAATATTGCCAGAAGTACAGACTATCCGTCTGTATTTGTAATCATACAGTGCATATAGCAATCAGAAGAGGGCCAATCGCCCCCAGGTATTGTTTCAGGAGCATCGTGATCAGCTTCGTACACGATGCCACATTCATGCTTGCCTAAATTTAGATTAATAATGACTCCTATGCTATGGTTCTCGCTTCGTAAAATTTTCAATGAAAAACTAGGTTGGCGACTGCCCCACTACTTAATATTCTCCTTCATAATCCATTTGCTGGTAACTTTGCTAGGGGTTGCAAGTCATGGGGTCGTCATGACAAGCTGAGTGGTGCTCTCCTGTCACTGGCCTCATCCTCTGGCCTTTTAGACAGTGACGGTAAACAAGTTTCGCCTTCTGAAAACGATGTGCTCCTCGCCAACCTCAGGAGGTTAGTTCCGACTGTACTGGATGCAAAAGCTTTACTAAAACTAATATAACGCTAGTTTATCGTGGCCCCATGTTCAGAACCTGATTCCACAAGGTTAAGCTACCTACTCTCTTAACCTACTTATTTGATCGATGGTTGCCGCTAGTTAGTGCAAGAATACCTTATTGCCGCAAGAGTTTTCGCTCGCCCCGCAAATTTAGGAAGCCATACCTCTAACCTAGCCTTTTTTCCTTGCAGGCTTTACGCACTGCGCATGATGAATTGCCAGGAAAAACAGGCTCAGGATCTGAACTCGCACTTCTCGATGTCTCAGCCTATGGCCCACCAACTTGCTTTGGCCCATCAACAGTTGACTTCTGGTGCTCCCCAGCACCTGCCTTTATCCATGACTCAACCTTTACCCATGGAAGCTTTGCAAATGGGTTTGCAGCGAGCCGGTCAGAGGGCCTCTCACATGGTCTCAAACAACCGCATTGACTCACTTGCCAGCGACTACAGTGGCTGGAGCATGGCGCCCTCTTCACCCTCCTACCCTGGTCTGTCTCCTTTCGGCAGCTACCAGCAATTTTCACCTTTGCCTCACCATCAGGCCCAGGCATACCAGCAGTATCCGTTCAGTGCTACAGCTCCAGATCTCTCGGCTGCTTTGGCTAACTCCAACCCGTACGGGATGTCCCAACAAAGTTTTGCCAACACGGTGAATGTAGCACACATGCTGCCAGAGCATGCCTACGCAAACGTGAATAAAGGCGCTTCCAATGGAAACTCCGCACCTGTCCAGATGCCCAATCAAGTGTGGCCTGCTACTTCATCGGAAGTCCCAAGCGTGATCGACAAGGAACTTTTTGGTTTTGGTCTCGAGTCTCAGAACCAGAACGGTGCACCTTCCTACCCAGGTTACCCTCAACACCAGTATTACCAGAGCAACGCCAACTATGGCAAGCAGTCGTCTTCGAACATCACAGGTGTATACGGTGAACCTTCGTCGAAGCAACGCAGTTCGGAACCTGACTTGTTGAGCCTTATCAACAAGTCGGACAAGTACATGAGCGACTCGAAGGGCTTGAAGACTATCAACGAAGTCAGTGAACCGAGAGACCAAAGTGTAAGACCGAAGTCTTCGCTGAAGCATCACCACCATATGAACGTAATGAATTCTATGTCATAGCCGTGCATATGCCAGCTAAACTTAAGTGACCTTGAACGCGTTAATGGAACATAAGACTAATTTCCCGACATCCTGTGTAGGTGCATCAAGTGTCCCTTTAATTTCCTTATTTTTTATTCCCACTAAGGTTTTAAAATTATCCTTCTTAACCTGAATTCTTTATGTACGTAAATTTCTACGACTTTTAATACCTATCTCTGAGTAAATTTGTCTGGTAGACTTAAAGGGAGTCTAAATTATTCTTATTCGGATAAACAACTTTTTTGCAAAGCTAGATATTTTTAAACTACTTGTGTAGCTATTTCAAATATATTAAATGTGATTTTCCTTAAGTTTATGCTCATATTTTGGGTAGGTGTATTTTACTCTTAGACTCGTTGGATACTGGTAAATTTTATTGGCTTAGGCTTGACCTCGAATGCTATACTATTGATGAGAATTATCCTTGTATTAATTTAATTTTGTTGTAATGGCTTGATTTTCATAAATTTGGAATTTTACTTCGTCTATCAACCTTCTACCTTCGATACATCGCCCTGAAATTCGTTGCTGAAGATCTCGAACCGGCTATAATCTTGAACTCTGCCCTCACTTAACTTGCCTGCAATATTTCGAGCAAAAATTTCTCCAGATACGGGAAATTTAATTTTTTACAATCCATACATGAGGCTTCGAGATGTAAAGCCCTCTCTGGTAAACCGGAATGAATATTGATGCGCGAAAATTCATATCAGAGTACCATAGGGAAAGTAGAGCGTGGAGAAAGAGCACTGTTTGGAGGTATTAGTACAGCTAATGACTGAGCAATAACTGGAAATAATGCTTGGATACGTGCAAATTTCAACTAGAGCTCCACGCGTACTCCTGCGTGCTTCTAGAATAAGTTTTGACTAGAGGCCTCGATCTGAACTTGCAACGGGTTGGTTAATCCTCTCCTTAACTGCTGAACGCGCTCAACTGCTCATCGGAACTTTATCGAGAATGGATAAGCATACCTTGAGTTCGTCTTGGGTAAATCAGAGGCACACTAGTCTCCTCTTTGCCGGTGCGTTGTAAATTTTTTATTGGCATCTCGTGCAATCCTGGTGTGAAGTAGTTGGTTGTGATTGAGCAAGATCTATCAAAGTTCGCTACTCGCTAGTCGCTAGTACTAAATGGGATCAAACACTCGGGCTCACAATGTGGTAAAGATCTTTCATGTAGATCTGAACAGAATTGGAAAATGCTGAAGATATTTCCGCAATGATTAGTGTTCGGTGATCGTCATTTCGTAACCAATATCTTTCCCTGATATATTGAAGAGCTCACAAACCAACTTACATCAAATGGCTTAAATAAAGGAAATTTAACCTGGTGAACGATTACTCCCATCTGATTAAATGTGTGGATTCAAGCTGTAAGGATACCTGCACTACAATTTTATTCATGGAAACTCGAAGCTGACCACAATTATTGCAAGTTTTCCACTTCTCTCGTATTAACGGCCATGCTGGATTATGAAGTTATTAAAATGCAAGCCTTTCAGTAAGGCATCTTCCTTTAGCAGGGAATTCTGACAAGGGTCTTTCCTCGTCAGAATGTCTATCGGGTCTCGCGCTCACAGAGACGTTCCAGAGAGAACCTCTGCCCAGCTGTTGGTACTCGAGTGCAAGTCATGAACTGGCGTCAATAAGTGTTTGCAAGATACCTTACATATCCGGTCACAGTATCGTGCTTACAGCAGACGTGTCGTGAAGGTGACATCTTATAGGAGTGTATGTTGTTGATATCTTCCTGTCCTTCGTCGTTCATCGTCTCTTTGTGATGCTGACTGTTCGCGCCAGCATAATGAGCTTGGTGAGGCCATGTCCTTCATGCGGATGACGAATTTTCTATTTGTGAAAATGGCGAAATGTTAATTTTTTACCAAGTAGTGAGATCAATATTCGTATAGCTGATGTGCTACTAAAGCTTATGTCTAATTAATATTCGAGTGCTAGTCTTGAGCATTCAAAAATCAAACGTGAACTGTATTGGCCTGACGCGAACCTTGATTACCTCTAATGATTAGAACGGATGATATATATAATCATATATTACAATTCTACAAAATCTGGGTTATCGTAACGCCTTTGCCTGGATAAAGATGAAAAGTCTTGATTTTTACAGTCTGCTACAGACTACCATTAAATAAACTTTGGCTGTAGGAGTTTATTTATTTGCAGAATTGGGTCAATATCACATTCCAGATAGACATTTACATTTTTTACAAAAAAAGTTCTTGCCTGAAAGCTTCCAGAACCACATTTTTAAACCTAATCAACAATTGTCGAATAGGTGATTTATTCTTTTATAGGAACGTTTAGATCGAAGCTTGGAGATTAAAATTTATTGGATTGTGCTTTCAAGATTGTATTTTTTTTAAGACCGAAGATCTTTATAAAAAATTTGAAAAAAACACATAAATTCCGGTTTGCCCCCGCTCTCTTTTGGTCATTTGAAGTGACGTCAAATTTTATGAGCCACGAAATAAATTATCATTCTGATACCGGAAGTCGTATGAATATTAACTATTTATTGCTATGTGATAAATTTGGCCGAATACAGACGTGCAATACGATTGTTCGGTCATCATGTTTGTGAACTTGTTGAAAATTATCGGGAATGTGGCTGCACTTTATCGAAATACGTATGTTTGTCAGTGACCTTGTCATTTCCAGTTCCGGCTTGTAATGTAAAGCCAGAATAAAATATAAATAGAACGTTGACGAAGAAGCTAGAATTAATTCCAGTACAAAGAATCATGACCAGAGGACGTATCTTATCCCTTTGTCCCGGTGTGACTTGTTCAGGAGGATATCTGTTCGAAATCATGTTCGATGCTTAGTGTAAAGTGTTGGTGTTTTCGCATCTATAGGTTTCGCCTAATAATCTCCAGTAAGTACGAGGACACAGGATCTTATTAATTCATAATAAATCATAATAATATATTACTTTTCCAGCTAAAAAAAATTGAATATCAGATGAAAACTAGCAGTGGCAGCCGTATGCACCTTTTTAGCTAGCGTCGAACGTTTTAGTCATGAACACATGACAAAATTTTGAATTATGTCGTTTGCATTGTGTACAATCTTCGCTTTCTGTCGGTGTGAGGTGTACTGTGCTCCTCAACTATTTCTATTTCTTCGTCGGTACTCTGTATTGGAGCAATGTATCCTCATGTTAGTCATCGTTTTTTCACTGAGATCTTAAAACTTGTTTTATAGAGTACAAGGGTGATGAAGCAATAAAATATTATTTCGTTAGTCGGTCAAATCAATATTTTCATATCGTACGGCAAATGCAGGTGCAGTAAGATATGAGATATGATATGCATTTTGTGCAGGTTCTAAAACTATATATGTGGTCGCAGTAGCTTTATCTTATCCGGCTGATATCTCGGCTCGTCTGTACGTTTTCGACGCAGAAAAGTCTTCTCTGCTTACAAATGGTGAGGTTTCACTACCAAGATGAGTTCGTTTTCTGCATTGTTCAAGCTCTACGATCAACGTTGCAGTAAGTAATGCAGTCAACTGACGACTGTTTACAGTGTATTGGATATTTAGATATGCTCCGTATTTTAACTTGAAAATAATTAACTTGAGAGACGTCAGTAAATAGCTGAGCATTTCAAACACATTTTCTCATTATCTTCATCTCTTAGCTGAGCTTTAACCCTATGAACAGCTAATTTTGTGTGGTTCTAAAACCAGATAAACTAATAAACCAAAAATCAATTATCTCGATCATTTATGCTATCTTATCAGCAACAAGTAATTGATCTAAAAATTAAACATTTACTGAAAAGTTATGAAGTTTACTTTATTAAAGCAGACAATGGAAGGGTTTAGCTATACAATAAAAAATTGATGAACAGCTGGAGGCATTTATTTATCAGGAGTAGGTGATACAATTTTCCATTCGCTGCAAATAAATAGTCATGAGTGAGAACCATCATAATAACACTAGTTAATACCTACCTATGTACAGGCTAATATTTTTCAGTACCTAACATGAAATAGCTCACCCTGACGGCTGACATGACTAAAATTATACTTCATTGAGTGACAACAGTCTTAAATTAACTTTGCATCAAGTTTATCGTTTCACTTAAAAATGAACATTGGGACAAAAAACTTGTTTAACTTTTGCAGTGAAATATTGTATTGTGTTAACTTGAAACATTCTATTTGACGAAAATTAACGACAAAGGCTTATTATTAGAATGAGCGCTATGAAGAATGAGAAATTTATTAATACTGATGCTAAGTAAGTGATCATTTTGAAGCAGCTGAAAACTTCTCAGACTCGAGAAAAAAATCGATAAATTTCAGGACAACTTAAATTAAGAGGCCTGATATGATGGATTTTTCTACTGTCACCAGTGCGACGTATTGTGTTTGTGAGAAAACGCGAGACAATTCATACTATTTATGCTCTCGTATTCAAGCTTGACTAAAAACGAGCCGAGATCATGTTCAATACATGCCTCAAATTCTGCATTGCTAATAATTTCACAGCTTGCTACTTTAATCAATTTTTTCTCATTACCTTATATCTATCAAGTGAGAAATGATAGCAGAGTTTTCCGTGGCCAACCGTCTACTAGGTTGGCCACTAACTGACGACATTCCTCATCATAATTTTGACACGTTTCATTAAATACTTAAGAAACTCATATCAGAGGAAAAACATTCAAGCGGAAAATACGCTGTCTCACAAGAGAACGATTAGCAGCATATCTCAGCACCTTATCAAAAAGGTGCAAGTAATGACAATTGCAATATCTAATTACTAACACAAGCTTATTTACACCTCAACAGTGAACATACCATCCAGCATGGATTAGCTTATGCAATAGAAAGAAGCACCAAAATGTGGACTCAAGAAAGAAAAGAGTTCAAATTCGGCATTTTCACACCTCGCGCACTCTTTGCCTCACTGGTGGCTGTAAATGCCTACATGGCTTCAATGGGCCACTGCACTGCATGCTGATGTTCAGGCCATGTATTTTGAAGCTTTTCTTTGCCAGGTCTGCCAAACCCGCACTATCACCTTGCACTGCTACCTTGATGCACTTCAAGTCTTTACAGGTTTTGAACATGTATGGAGTCATTGCTAATATGTATGGTCGACAGATCGCGATAGTGAACACCCGCAACTTTGGAAAAGCTACTACAATATCGCGCACCATTTCATCGTATCCGGTGTCACAAACTCTTAGTTTAGAGATACTCAATACTGTTACGTTAGGCAAAACTAGATTCCGGAACATCACAGGAACGTGCAAAGTTGAAGAAAAAATTGAAAGTGAGATGTCTAGATGAGTCAATTGCGTTAGATGAGCACAGAAATGATCCTGTCCTAGGCTGAATGGTACTTCTATTGCGGTAATATTCAAGCAGAACAATTTCTTGCATTCGTGCAGTGCTCTTCTCATTTCCGGCGTAAATTCACAAAGAAGTAGGTGAAGTCTCCTGAGGCTTTGTTTCAAGTTCACGAGCATTTCTGTGATTCCATCGTCGCTCGCAAATGCTACGTTTGCTGAGATGTCCTGTAAGCGATTTCCGTTTGTCGCAATGATGGAAACTAACTCCGTATTCAATTGGTATCTGTTGCATAGATAAAACTCTCTTAAACTTGGCAACTGGCAAGCTTCTTGTATCCATGCCTCTGGAGGGTTAGCTGCTGAGCGAGAGTACTCCGATTGAATTCGGTGTAATGACGGACAGCTTTTTGCCAATGTTGCGAAGCTTCCTTCTGAAATTTGCTTCACAGAGAGCATTTTCAACGATCTGAGATTCGGACAGTGAGCCACGACATTTTTTATGAAGCCGTCAGTTATATCAGAACCAGTCAAATTCTTCACTCGCTTCGATCGGCCATGATAATCGAACAAGTTCCTACCACCACAACTATTTTTGGCTCTGCACGGCAGCTTGCTCAGGTCAACATTGGTCCAACACTTTGAGTTGTTGCCAACTTCGTTCCAACGTTTGTTTACCAGGAGAACGTTGACAAGCATATCATTCAGAGAGATATACGAGAAAACCTTTTCTAGCATTTCATTAGGCAATGAAGAAATAGTTTTGTTTTCTTCTCGAATATGTTTTGGTACTGTAATCACCGGACACAATATGTGCGGCAGAATGTGCTGTGCTACTTCGCATTCGTCTTCCAAGACGTAGAACTGTGTGGCGTTATCAAGATGTCTGATCCTTTCGATGAATTTAAGACCCATATTTTTTTTATCCCTTGTTTGTTCTAACTCGACACAGAGGGCTTCAAGTTTTTTCTCGTATTTTGATACCTTAGAGTCATCTCCAAGTCGTTGTCTTAGTTCCATTGTCTTCGAGCATGTGCGCGTCACTTTCCTTTCGATTCGGTTTTCTTCTTTCTTTAGCTTCTCCACTGTTAACATTAGGTAATTTCCCAGAAGCTCTTTGATTTTCAGGTTGTTTCTCATTAGCATGTTATTCTGCGAATCTACTTGTTCTTCATCCGCTCCATCCATTTTAACTAATCTTTCGATGAATTTTACATTTTCCATTACGTCGGGTATGTCATTGTCTTCTAATTCTGGATCATCTGTGTCTTCATCAGTTATATCAATGTTATCCATTGATTCTTCTTTGTTGCTTTCGTTTCTTTCTTCTCCCATCGATCCGTCTTCTACTTCCTCAACATCTACTGCTTCGTTATCGATATTATTTTGTTCTGCTTCTTCGTTGACTTCTCTTTCTAGGGCTACGTCTACATTTTCTAACACACCATATTCAACTGATGGCATAAAGAAAGGAAAAGTTTTCTGCAACAGGGTGCGGATGTTAAATTTACCCAAGTGTACGAGAAGTTTTCTCATCGCATTCCGGAAGAATTGACGTATGTCAGACTCTTCCGCGCCCGGTGTCTCGTTGGCTAGCGTGTTTTGTCTCCTGTACACGCTGACTTTTGTGAGTATCCAATCAAATTTATCCTTCCAGCCTTGGTGTACACGAGAGAAGTCGGTCACTATAGTCCATGCCGAGTTGGACACCATGAAGGAGAAGCGTCTGGCTGAACTGAAAGAAAAAATCTATTAGATTCTTTATAATTATCTGTATAGGAGTTTACAATTTTAAACCGTTGTTAATATTGATGTCTTAAAAGCAACTAAATGACATTTTATTACCGTGAAAGTCTAAATTAAGACCTATATTTATTCCTTGTTGTTTAATTGTTAAACAGTATATTTATTGGTTCAGTTGTTGTACTTTACAACTCGCGATCCAGACCGTTAATGCAAAGAACAATTGTTTGAGCTAGTGTTGTATGATTTTGATTTTAAAGACCAATGTGGTATTTAAATTTTATTAAATATAATTCTGAGGAGCAAGTAGAAATAAACTCGTGAAACGACATATTATTGATTGGATTTGAAACCATCTGTTGCAACAGTAGAAAATATTTGATAATTTAAAAACTTACGATTAGATTTGCGATTTTGATCAGCTTCTCTGCTTCATTAGTGAAAAATTTTACCAATCAGAATCGCTATTTTAGGGGAGTGTCTGGATAAAAACAAATGTTTAATTTACGGCTCCAATCATTTTGAAATTTTGTACACATACGTAAAGCAGAAATCTAAGACATTTTTGTTTGTGTAAATTTATCTGAAAAAATGAAAGAAAACGTGAAATTCACAGAAAACGGCAAAAAAAGTGTTCTAAAAAATCAAACTCATGTAATTAACGTGCTACAACATCGAGAGACACGTCATTCGATTCTTAAAGACCATATCTAGCCGTAAAGACCATATCTAGCGGTCATCAGGTCATTTTTTCATATTTTGTATGCCATAATCTATTTTTTTTTATTTTCCCCCTCCTTCCACCCTCGTTTTTTTCAATATATAATTCAAACTAAAACAAATTAAAAATGATCACTAGATATTTTGTACGAATCTAATGGTGTATCTCTCAATGCTGTAGCTTGAAAATCATAGGAGGAGATATATTTATAACTTATAAGAGAGTGTATTTCGTAGATTTTAATTTTTCAGGGGAGCCAAATGAGCAATATTGATTGAAATTAGGAAAAAATATAACTCAGTACTCACTGCAGTGAGTGACAGAGAGCGCATTTTCTCGTCGACAAAAACGTGGTCACGGATGGACGAACATGACGAGCACAATAGCGCCTTTTTTCCATAAATGAGAAAATGCGCTAAAAATGTTGAAAAATTGCATGTTACTTTAGCCCCCAGGATACCCAGTGTCGATTACTTATATTGACAATACCATTTATATTTATTCTTGTCCAGTTTTACGCTAATACTAAGCTATAGATGTGATTTTTTTAGTATATTATTCATATAAAATGATCATTTTATAAAAATTCGAAACGGCCTTGCACAAAAAAAAGTATTACATAAAAACCCATGCTATTTGCTTTTTTAAACGCGCCTCGTTTGCAGCTTCAAAAGAAGTTTAAACACATCGCAATCAGCGCAAATAATGATCTATAAGTTCAATTTTTCAAAGTAATATTAGTACATTTTGTTGAAAAATGTTCATTTCATATAATTTTGGGACGGCCTAACGCAAAAACTTAAGTACGAACATTAATACTGTTTGCCACGTTAGAATCGCCATTTTACAGCTACAAAAGGAGTTTAAAATCAACTTAATTAAAGTGAGTAATGATCTATAAATACCATTTTTCTTGAATAAATCTTTGTACATTTTCTCAAGAAAATGTACATTTTATATAATTTTTTAACTGTTTCACGCAAAAACTAGAGCACGCAGCTATAAAATGTAGCTTCCGCAGCAACAAAATGACTTCAAACAACGAAAAAGTCAAATTTATCATTTTTTTGCCCAGATGCTCCCATAATTCTGCCGTGGTTCTGGAGACCAAAATTGCTACTCTTAACCTGATGCTGATGCTTTACAAATTTCTCCAAATAAATCCAAATTATGAGTAATGGCGAAATTTTATAAACTCCCTAAGTTTAAAATTAAATACTAAAATATAACTCATGCCCCATCATCGGATAAATTTTTTCCATGGCTTTAGATACGTCGTAATTAATTATTTAAAATTTCATCCATAAATCTTGCACCAATTTTCCGTATTCTATTCATGAATTTTTCGTTTTCTTTATATCACACAAGAAAATCGCTTGTGTTTATGTGCCTGGAAACCGATTTAATAATATAATTAAAACAATACAACGGAATTTGTATCCATGAGACTACCAGAAAGAATATAAAAGCAAAGAAAACGCCATCATCAGTTCGATCATGGTTGAACTAGTATAAGGTTGACCCATGAGAAGCTCATTTTTGCGGATGTAGCTTGTTGTTCGTCTGTGACGTCACTGATCTCAGTGACGTCACGGGCATTAACCAATCACCGAAATGCGATCAAACCAGTCAACCAATCCGTGATGGGAATGACGGGATTGTTTACGTTTCTCGATCTACGTCACGTAACAAGAAAGCTAAACTGAAAGACGGAACTTCTCGTGGGCATATCTAATATAATCTAAAAAATGAATGCAATCATTTGGAAGTGCAGCTGGACTCCGAAACGTTTTCAATATCGATTTGGTGAATTTGCTTAACATTTTCTTTGCTTTTAAATTCCTTGTGAACTTTCTATTTAAGCAAACTGATAATATAAGTACTAATATAGGATCTAAATACGGCGAGTCTACTATTGTTTACCGGCCACTGGCGTGGAACAAGGTTGTGGGAGACTAAAAGCGTCCACTAGCATCCAGCCCCAAGATTTTACATGACGATAAGAAAACTTTTATCCTCGTTACTTAACAATGCCGGCATCGTATATTGAGTAATAAATCTAATATCTTAGATTGCTCAAGAATCTCGTGAGAAATTAATAAAAATTTACATTCTCAATCAATTTACACGGCTCATATATATGAAAATTAAAGGTATTAAATATCGAAGTAGAGCATCAGAATTTTTTTTCATTATTTGTAATAATTTTTATCATTAAAAAGATTTTCCCCATAAGTTACTGTTTTTCGATGATGCAATTTTAATTTCTAAATTGTTCTTCAAAGACGTGTGATTATGATACTAAATTTTGTAGAAACTCCGATGCAAAAATTTTGAAAATTAATAAAAATTCACGTATAGGATTCGTTTTATTTGAATTTTGCTTTGTTGTCGCGAAATATATTCTCTGAAACTAAAATTCGTGATGGTTGCGTACAAAATTAAGAAACTTCATCGAAATAGAAACTTCGGTACAGAATACAAGTTTGTGATACATCCGCAAACGTTTAATTCGAATTCATGCAAGTTAGTAATTAAAGAGTTTATCGAATTAAAGGTGGGCAATCATTTTTCAAAATTACTAAAAACTAAAAAGCTTTGATTGATACATCCTGTGAAATACTTTATTCCCATTATATTTCACGATTATTCTGGAAGAAAAACAATATTCCAATTTATTTAGTAATGAAAAAATTTCAATAAAAACTTTAAACGTAGCTTTTACTTTGAAGCGTATGCCAAATCATGGAACGTAAACTTCGTTCATACACTAAATTATATGTAATGGCTATTGAGCATTAACATAAGGCTATGTTTTAGCGCATTTTCTCATTTATGGAAAAAATGCACTATTGTGCTCGCCATGTCCGTCTGTCTGTCTGTCCGTCCGTCCGTGACCTCAAGTTTTCGTCGATGAGAAAATGCGCTCTCTGTCACTCACTGCAGTGAGTACTGAGTTATATTTTTTTTTTGTGTTGTGGCTGACCCGCGCGCTATCTACAAGATGCACATGTGCGTCGACCTGGCCTATGCACATAGGCCTACAGGTCGGTCGACACACGTGGTTTTTCAGAGAATTCGTGGTACCGTCTAAAACTACCCGGCCAGGCTAAGATCACTCAACCGCAACTGCAGTTTTCAGGTGGAACATGAAATGCAGCTTGCTAGCCGATCACAAAACCTACATAAAATGCACACTGAAACTCAATCACAAAACTGTTCTCAAACTCAAACTATATGTTAATCACCTTACTGACGAGAAATATATACTGTAAGCCAATAACAAAATTTACATCAAATGCAAACTGCCAGCCAATCACAAAACTAGTTTTTTTTATTCGTTTAAATTGTTTTGAGGCGATATGTGAACAAAAAAAATGCTACTGGTTCTAAAGAACTGACTGCAGGAAATTCAAATATGAAAAAAATTATTCACTTGTGTCGTAACTAATTGTCATTATTCATATTATTCCATGAGTCGCCGTTGGGGCTATACCATTGACTATCAGATCATCTAGTCGGGATTATTATATATATCAATAATATTATTATTGTATATTGTAAATATAACACTTGAGCTCCTCGAGAAATTCACATCACTCGGGATCGGTTTCTAGTTTCGAGAGTACGAAGTAGCCGTGAAGAAATGATAACAATTTATTATTAATGTGCTACAAATTACTCGTTTTTACTATTGTAAAAATTAACAAATCAAAATCAAATAAAAACGGTATTATTTGAACGATACATTATTGCTACTCGTCTATTTAAAATGTGATAACCAAAACTTAATAAGAGTTTGTTATAACTTATACCATACATTAAATTTCTAACTACTTAATTTCAGAATTTGTAGGAACACGACAAAATTTCAATTCACTGATAACCTAAAACACACTTTAAATGTTACTGAGATATTCTAGAAACTTATTAGTGTCATCATCGTAAGCTCAAGAAACAATATCAAGAATTCACATACCTCGCAATAAAAGATTTTCTGTGACCAGATACTAGACCCCGGGAGTTTCCATGTGCTTCACCCACGAGTTATACTACAGAACTGGACGAACATTTGGCTGCTCGATTTATTCTGATTTTTCAGCTCAACCTCTAAGCCTAACTAACGCTGGACTGTGGGAGCATGTGTTGGAAACGCGTGTTTTTCTTGAAAATTAAGTTATGTTTGAGAATTTCGCATACAACGAAAGGATTTTTAAATTGAGTTATTTTAAAATTAATTATCACCCGTGTTCATTTGCACGTACAAAACGTGCATAGAACGTTCATGTTATGTTGATAGATGAACGCTCAGCGTCTCGGCAGATCATATGGTGATAGGGCTCTGTTACTTCTTTGTTATGGAAAAAAAAACAAAGAACTTGGCTATTCGTCAGTTTGTAGGTCCAATCTAAGCCGGGTTGTGTTTCAGTTCGTTTGAATCAAATAGTCTTCTTATTCAGGCCGAATCATTGAATATTTTAACGTAGACCTTACAAAGCATCATTAATTTTCTTCAATTAATGACGGTGTTCCATGTACATAATTCTGGTGATCTATACTTTCTATAGGGCCTTGTTTTTCAGTTCATGTTAAATCTGCATCCATAGCGTTTATTTCGAAAGCATTATGCTTGTTGCGCGATTTTCTCTTGATCACATCTAAAAATACGTTCAATGTCGTCTAGGTGTTTGTTTTTCTTGTTAACAATTTCCACTTCCAACAGTAAAACTATCATTATTTTCAATTCGTTGAAACTATTAAGTATACAAATCATGGTTTTCAGTTGCATTCTGAATGTTACCAGATTTTCTGTTTCACTCATGAACCTAGTACTAAAACTAGATTTTCCTCGGTCTGACTAGGAGTTATTCCCTATCTTCCTTATCAGCAACCGGCTTTCCAAGACGAACAGAGCGTTCTTTCTCCACTTGTGCAAATCCATGAAGCAACATTTTGTGAGTTCAATCATTACCAGGCTCGATCTTTAGGAAACGCGTCAGTAATATTCATATCGCGCCAACTTTATCACCTAATTGAAATAAGTTATATAAAAAATGAACTGTTTTTAATTTTTTTTTTACCGTTACGTATCATGGAATTGAAGAACACGTTGGCAACCTTGTAAACTAGAGCTTGTTTTTGTGAAACTTGTATTCCAGCTTTCAAACGATATATATAAGTATCTTAATAAACGACGTTTCATTATGCGTAGGAACCGAACGATTGTTGAAGTAGTTTTTGAATATCTGTTACCAGAGACGCGCGCTACTACCCACACTTATAATAAGCTGTAGATAAAATAAATTAGCTCTTTTATTGGATTGTAAACGAAGAAATTATAGCGGCTAAATTTTTCAATTCCTTCTAGCTCAATTTCATTCATGAATTTCTTTGACATCATTAATACGAGAATCAAATTCACGACCAGAATCATACTTTATAAGGGTGTAATGAAACGTAATAAGTAACTTTAATACTTTCTGAAAATTTTCTGAACACGATTTTATCACTACAGAAGATGATGATCAACGAAAAGAATGTTGGTTCTTAATCATGCACCTCGCAACTGTAATCATGGGCGTAGATGTACGCGACAACACCGACGCGCTCAAGAAATCAACCCCTGGCCCGCTGAAGCCCACTTCATGTGAAATGTAGAGCATTACCAGTAGTAACCATACTTAAATCAGTCACTTATTCTAAATCGAACGTTCCATCGTAATTGCATAATAGAACAACTGTTCCAATGCAATTCAAATTAAACAAAAACGAATATCATCAAAATGAAGCATCAAGTTTTCAACAGTTTTTATTGCGGCTCATAAATGTTTTCTTCACCAACAAAATGGCACCACTATGTGATAATAAAGAAATGACAAGGAAGCATAATTTCTTATTCGAACAATTTACTAAATAGTCCACTCGTTATTTATTCTGTTCGTCTCCCTCGCATGATTTCGCTACCCTTGTAATCTAATCAGAATAACGAACATAAGTTCTTCCACAGTATACTTATTTGAAGTTATTTCCCTTTCTACACATTCTTTTTCTTCTCCGCAAGATAAAGTTGAATCCGCATGATCAATGTTTCCGCGGTTTCAACGCCACAAAGAACACCTCAGCCACCTCCCTCCACTGGATCTACGGCACCCTGCCGTAGAACAGACTTGAGCTGGCCAGCTGTCAACGTACTGTTTTTCCAGAGAGAGAGAGAACTTTCTTGCCGAGTCTCCACTTCCCGCAGCCAGAATGCTACGCGAAATCACTTCATGCGGCTGGGAACGCTAAATTCCTGTTTTCAATAGCACGATCCGCCAGCAGCGTTCCTTCACGTACGTTCTCGGTTTGAAGGTCGAACAATCGTTTTTTGAAGATCCGTCGCAAACCGAACTTCAGTTCCTGTTGACAAATTTTACGGTAACAAAATAACTTCACAATAATTCTATTTGCATTATACATATATGGGGATATTTTACTAGGCTTGACATGAAAAAATGAATATACTGCTTGCCATGAAGCAGTAAATTTAAACACAATCAAGTTCTCATATGCATTCACAAGCCTTAAGTTTGGATAAACGAACCGACACTGGCAGCAAGCGAGTAGACAGAGAAAGGCAATTTGCCGACCGCGTCCTTGGTCTCGCCAGTCAGTAGAGTCACGACGGGCTTCTTGCCCTTAAGACTCGGCACTGCGACGTCCATGCTGCTGGGGGAGCTCGGACGCGACTTCCCATCGATGTTGTCGCTGTAGAGACTCCCAACGCAGCGTCCCTTGTTCCCTTCCCCAGAGTACTCGAGACGAGCGAAGTGATGGCAGCAATCGAGGATTTGATACCAGCGCCTGACGTAAATTTGAACCAGTCAAAAAAAAACAGTATTATTGCTCTATAATATATAGAGCTCATTCGACCGCAACGTTGCTAGACCAATACACGAGTTGATTTACTAGGCGCGTTCCCCATCATGCTATACACAAAGACGTCAATTTGACACATCCAAATCTATTGGGCGGTTGCCTACACAATCATGCCCGTCTTCCCAAAAACGCCTCACGGTGCAAATGGCTTTCAGAATGTTCCAGCGTTGTTACACAGTTGAAAAATTCTCCTGTTACATTCCACACAACTGAGAATAGTTTGTGTTCGTTTTTTACTGTTATAACGTTTATCTCGACATGAAAATTAATGCAGCAAGTCTCTAGCAGTGAATCAACTTTGAACAACTTGAACCACGAAAAAATATATATATATATATAATTCGCACGCAACTCACCAGGGCATCTTGTGTTGCTTGGCAGGATACTGCACCCCAGGGATCTGTAGGTGCTCCCCTGGCCCCTGCAGCCTAATGTACCCCCTGCCCTCTAGTGGGTGGTCGCCCCCCACGCGTCTGGGCGCCCGCAGCTGCAGCTCAAGCCAACGAGACGCGTCGCGTGCAGCGCCCACGTGGCGCTTCAGCTCGTCCAAATGTTCCACGACTGCAAGCAATGTTTATATTAGAGACAAAATTATGAAACTAATCGTTTGTAGAGTGTAATATATGCTTTATACGGATACAAATTATGTCGATACTAATCTGCTATCTAGTTTCTAGCGGGCAAAACTATACATATATTAGGTCATGCAAATAAACAAAGGTGATAAAATTTTTATATGCAAGCGTATAATTCTCATCTCTCTAATATTAATTTAATTGGTTTACCAAAATTTAAAGTCCCGACTGTAATATTGTCACTTATATCAGAAGCACTAACAGAAAGATTAAAAGAACATGAGTGATAAACTTATTAAAATCGCCCGTTGTTCAACCCGAAAAATCCTCGTCCGACTGTAATACTGTCGCTAATACCAAAAGCATCAACAGAAATATTAAAAGAACGTAAGTGATAAACTTATTCAAATCACCCGTATTTCATCCCCAAAAATTTCATGAGCAACTTGGCAAGAGTGACCTTAATTGCATTCTCATTTTAGAGCGTGTCATTTACCTTGCAAAGGCACCATCACTCTGCTCCCCTTCTCCATGAGGGCAGTCAAGAGGCCTCTGTGGTGAGAGAGCGTGAGGGAATCACACACAACCACCTTGGGGGTTGTGGTCGCTGCTGTGCCTTTAGGAGCACACGAAAGCTCGTGGCGCAGCCACTGCTCCGTCAGCAGGCGTTGGTCTGAAATGGAAATTTTCAGGGATGAATGAGAGCAGGAAAAGCTATGCAACAAGTCAAGGGCAAATTTGTGACATATGCACTAGGCTCTCCTTGTTTGATATTGGCGAGGTTATTCCTCAACAGCTGGTGCAATTTATATATGATTAATAAACGACCTTGATTTAAACTTTTTCTTCAAATGCTAAAAGCGCAGTGATCTTCCTATTTTTTACCTCTAAGTATTTAGAGGTTCAAAGCAGTAAAATTACTGTTAGATTGAGAATATTTGTTTCAATCAACAAACAAGAAACATATCGTTGTATATATTACAACTTGCCATAAATTCAACACTCACTTGCCACTCGTTTGTTTCGCTTCTCCTCGTCAGTAGCATCTTCCATGCGCTTCATTTCACTAACACCGTTATTAGCAACTGCATCACCACATGGGTCATCATCAGTCTTCGTCGATGATATTCCCTTATCAACTGTCGGCGACGGGGTCTTTCTGCTATCTGAAATTGGTGACGGAATCTGCCGCTCTTCATGTGATAACATCATGGTCTTCTGATAGCCAGAAGTCGGCGACGGAGTCTTGTGTTCATCACTGGCTGGTGCGATGACTGCTGTGGCTTCAGAAGAGTCGGGCAAATTACGTCTGCCATAGCTATTAGGATCCAGTATTTCGCGCGCATCCTCGTCCGAAGTTGCCTTTGTGTCTGAGTTGCTAAATCCACGATATGTTTTCCCTACGAGAGGCGGCCAATTTTTCTGTTGATCATAATGAGAAGCCCGATGATTATAAGATTCTGTTACTTTGTGATCACGATTATTCCTCGGTCTGGGTCGGTATTTCTTGCCTGGTTTGTGGCCATCTCTGATCGGAAGTTTATGCCTACAACGAACACGACCCTCGTTTGGCTTCTCACGAGGATAGCTCTGATGAGTTTTACTCCTGAAATATTCATTTACGACTGCATTCTTTGTATGATAGAATCCTTGTGCTGATGTTTGGTTTCTTCCATCGGCAGTTTTGTAACACTGTTCATAGTCGTTTTTGTGATCAACAAGCGAGTCTGATGCTGTAGGTGGCAAGAAAAAAGCCCTCACTGTACTGTTGTACTTCAATGGACATCCATCATAGCGTGTTAACTGGTACACGGTTCTACGTAGGCGCAGTATACGTATCAATGTTACTTCTGTTGAGGTCAAAATAGAACGAGGTGGCTGAATACAACCTGATTCGTTCGCGGCATCAGCCTTGGCATGATATCGATGCCGATGAATACCCAATCTTTCAAGGGTCTTGCTTAGATGTCCGCACAACATTATTGGTCCTTCTTTAAGCACATGCTCGGGCACGATCTCAGGCAAGGTTGAATGTAGCTCATCATCTTCTGGTAGCAAGAGGTCGTCAAATTCGCACCATGCATCCACTGCAAACGCCTTAGTCGTTTTCACAGATTTCATAAAGCGATCCAGATTAGGTAAGTCTTCGCGGTTGTCCTCTGCAACAATCAAATTTGGGCTTTATGGGAATGGGAATATATTTCCCATTCATGCTATGCAGAAAATCACTAGAACATCACAATATAACAATTGATAAGTGGGTAATTCTAAATCTTATTAAAATATAACGAAAATTGCAGAAGAATTGTTGTGCATTTCGAATTTCTATCTATTAAAAGATGAAGGATTAGTATGAAAACATTTCCTACGTATCTACTAAATGAGAAAAACACATTCAGACCAATCTTGGTCCTAACTCTCTATGTACTACACTCTCCATAAAATAATTACTAATGCTTGCTAAATTCTCAATTTATTTAAATTCAGACACTTAAGGTTAACAGTTGAAAATTTACCAGAACACAGTCGCTGCAAGTCCAAGGAAAGAAGATTGCATAAAGTTGCAAGTTCTTGCCACATGATTCTGACGCCCTGAGCGGCTCCACTGGAATGGTTGGCATTATTATCATCATTTGATGAACCACAAGTCCACGGTTTGTCAATCCTTTGCTGTGAGACTTCATCTTTACTTCTAGCAGAGACTTCATGATTAATACTGGACTCGTTTTCTGCAGTCAATCCATTCTGAAGAATTGAACTATTTGTTGCGGCTGATGAATTCTCAGGCATTGAGTCATTACAAGAGGTACGTAAAGTTCCACGAACCGCAGCATTGTTTTCCACAGTTTCGTCATTTACAGTTTGGCTTCCAGCACCCTTGCTCTGATCTTGCTTTGGGTCGCACCAGACAATATCCCCAGCAACAGAACTCGACGATAGAAGCCAGGACAAGACCAGCTTGGCAGCAAGTAGCATTCCAGGAGCTTGACAGTCTTTACCGTTGGCATCAGTGGGATACACATGTTCTGATTTGTCAATGCCGATTACAGATCCATCATCCAGAGCAGTTAGGAGCCGCAGATGTTGCAGAGCAGACATTTCCTGGACAGGATTTTCAGCAGCCACGGGGGAGGTGAGGCCATTCTTCTCATTTGGGGTCTGAAAAACAAGAAAATGTCAAAGCTATGAGCAGCATAAGCAAAGCTTCAAGCTTCTCTTACCCTTCATCTACAGCCAGATTATGCGTTTGCTATGCTATTCTTCCAGAGAATGGCATTGCAGACAGAGCTACAGAAAGTAGACAGGATTTTTATCAACAGGATTAAAAATTATCAAGACCATTTGCAACCTAACTATTAGGATAAAAGAATAGTTTTTTCTTACATGACAGTTCAACAAAATATTGACAATAAGCACAAGCCTCTTAATATCGCAACTAGAAGACTCGCCTGTTCCGGCAGGCAACGTGGTGCGGTGTCAACATCGTCTGCGCTATCAGTCTCGATGATGGCATCCTGCAATATATCCTCCACATAGATTGATGCAACTCCGTTTAAATACATTCAAAGATCTACACTCAAACTTTATATTGTCTACACCTTCAATCTCCATTCACATCGCAGACTCGAGGCTAAGATTTATGAATTAAAAAAAATTAAAATAATCAGTTTTTGCAATTCAATTAGCTTTCTCAACAACAGATAATGAGAAATATTCTAACTCATTTTTCTCGCAAAAGAAAACACTGAGCCAATAAAAATGAGTTCAACTAATTCGGGTTATTTTCATCACCAACTCAAACTTCAAATTTCACAATTTCTACCAAAATAAATAACTACCTACAGCATTCATTTTGGCCTCCCTCTTCTCGTATCAAGCACAATATACTTGGAACTACGAGAACAAAACATCACTGGCAGCAGCGCTCATTGTCTCAATCAACATTTTAATTAATATAAAAACAATAATACATAACATTGGGATGGAGCACTTACGGGGCCTGAGTCCTCAGCCTCACTGAGGCTGTCTTCGCTGGAGGAGCAGAGGGCGTCAGAAAATGTCACCGAGCTGCCGTCGTCACTGGCGTTACTCTCGGCCCCGTCTTCTTCGCATGAAGAGTCTGAAAATTACAAGTCAACCCATGAAAAACCATCCTTTTATCGCATGTCATTATGACTTCATAACTACTTATGTATCATAACTCACTAGTGTGTCACCCTTAGACATTTGCGTTTGATAATTTTTAACTAAAATCTGGTTGCCGGCGCCACTAGATTTAGATAATTTATGCAATTTGAGAATAACCATAATCAGAGAGAAATTAGTTCAAACCCACATTCAGCACGTTCTAGTCATTCACGTTTTGAAATTTAGCTGAAGTAGTAATTTACTTGAAATTTATTTGGAATAAACTTGAACTTTTTAGTGTTGAATGATTTGTATATTAGTGTCATTTTTAAACTTTCCTAATAATTTGAATTTTTAAATCCAACTATCCTTTCAATTTTTCGAATCACAGAGTTTCACCTTTACAAAGAAATTCTTAGGTAATACCCTGACACGATAAGTATCAATGATACACGCCGATCAGCCCCAAAAAATTTCTTCAAACACACAACCAAGCTATGACAAATGTAGATAAGATGTGCAATATGTTACGAATTAGTATTCATTTACAAAATCTGGAAGTAACACTGATTATAGAAAGTGGCACGAACAATACATCACCTACAATAAGATTATACATTTATGTTTACAGCTGCTACTACACTTACCGTCCTCATCCATCTGAGGTCGTTTACGAACACGACGTCTGCGTCGCGGCACCCTTCGTCGCTGCATCGCTCGCTCAGGGGCAGGCGTTGATGCGCCGCTTGCATGCCCAGCTGACTCGTCGCTCACGCCAGGGCTGCCTAATGCGACCTGCAAGAACATCAGGAAAACAAATACATTCACGACCGATACTGACCGTCCTTCATAACTAGTATTCAATAATTTTAAAAATTTTAATAAAGAAGCTGTATACTAACGCTGAAGATGAATTACACGTTTTTGTTACATTTACAAATGATAAAAAAAGTTATATAAAATCAACTGCTCACAAAACAAATGAAATGAATCATGAAAATAAGTTAAACTGCTTAACCAGGAAAGGCATTCGAAACCATTATAGATTGTTGTTAGTTCACTTGAATATCATTACTAGCAATCATTCCACCAGTTGACAGCCAGTACCAGTAACTCAGTAAGACAATGTACTATAAATTTGAAGCATTTTCATGTGAGCATCCTTACAGCCAGAGACGGTGATGCGAGGGCGGCGACAGCAGCGGGAGAGCAGCAGGTGCTTAGGGCCAGTCGTGTGGTGCGATTCAAGTATGATAATATCGCCAACAAAATAGACGCCAGCAGCACCGAACACGTCTTGCCTATAACAAATGCCGAGCTCAGATTATAATAGCAAAAAAAGGTGGAAGCTGACGGAGTGATAACTTGGTGAAAGCACCAGAAAAATTCAGATAGTGTTTATCGGGAGACTTCAATGCCAATTTAACCATGATGGAGTGGCAGAAAAAAGACCATTTGGTGGAAGTGGAACCATGAATCAATTTGACGAAACAAAAGAAAAGCAGTAGAAAGTTGGTATTTATAAAGAAAATACGGCTTTATGTGCCTCTGCATCAGTAGGAAAGTGAAAGTTGACAACACCATAATATACAAGATATTTTCAATAAAAATACATTCTATTTGTATAAAATCTCTGCAACAAATGCTGTAAGTTAGAAGATAACTTGCCTCTTTCATCGAATTGTATTTCATGAACAGCTATCATGATGGCACAAGTCTGAGGCACAAGAGCCTCAGTGTGGCGTACTGGAGGTTGGGAGTTGCTTTCTCCTGACGATACTTCTTTGAGGAGCTCGTCGAAGTGTAGCAGAAAATTTCGACACACCTGAAATACATGCCAATAACTTATTTAAATACATCTGCTTCACTTACAAAACAACTCTGAGACGTGGTTAAAAATTAATATAAAGAAGTTGGTTCACAGAATGGTATACCGGTAAAAGATAATCAAGTGATGAATAAGAGACACGCTCGCATCTCGGGCTAACTTCATAAAACGCTTGGTTTCAGGTAACTATGAATGAAGCACATATACCTAACCTAAAATCAGCCAAAATCGATAAATGAATGAAATTTCAACAATACGTTCATGGCACAAAATGAATTTTAAAAATATCACTCAAGGCTCTACCAATAAATGCATTTCATTGAGAATTACTCAAACTAAACATTGTGCACAGTTTATGAGTTCGACCTGGAGCTGGAGAGCATCGCAGCTACACCGACTCCAAAATATACTCACCATCTGGAGCTGGAGAACATTGTGGCTACACCGACTCCAAAATATACTCACCATCTGGAGCTGGAGAACATCGTGGCTACACTGACTCCAAAATATACTCACCATCTGGAGCTGAAGAACATCGTGGCTACACCGACTCCAAAATATACTCACCATCAGGAGCTGGAGAACATCGTGGCTACACTGACTCCAAAATACACTCACCATCTGGAGCTAGAGAACATCGTGGCTACACCAACTCCAGAATATACTCACCATCTGGAGCTGGAGAACATCGTGGCTACACCGACTCCAAAATATACTCACCATCTGGAACTGGAGAACATTGCGGCTACACCGACTCCAAAATATACTCACCATCTGGAGCTGGTAAGGATCATAGCTGCGTGGCAAAAAAGAGGCAATGACAGCCATGAGGGTGTCAGAGAAACAAGGCTTAGCAAAGTTGTCCTTGCGAAGCACCAGGAAATCTTCTGCATTCAGGAGAGACTGGTAGCTCTGCACGCTGCTGTTGAGGATTGGTTTCAGCAGCAATTTAGCTTGTTGGTGGTTTTTGCACATAAGCCTGAGGGAAGAATTCATCGCCTATAATGAACACAAGCTTCCTAAGTATACTAAAAAAATAAAAACAATGATATCCACCATTACCATTAAAAAATATAACTCGGTACTCGCTGCAGTGAGTGACAGAGCGCATTTTCTTGTCGACGAAAACTTGAGGTCACGGATGGACGGACAGACAGACAGACATACAGACAGACATGGCGAGCACAATAGTGCATTTTTTCCATAAATGAGAAATGCACTAAAAACCTGATTAAATTATAATTGAAGTACCGTATATATATGAAAGGGCGTGCGATAACCTAAAACTTTTTCTGAATGCACTTGATTGGTGGTGGAGCTAGAGATTGGGAGTGTGACAAAAAATCAAGTTGAAATATAATTTGAAAATATATTGGTTTGGTCAATAAATGCTGGTTATGCTTGAAGACTTGCTCAAACGATTGATTAAAAACAAGTCAATTTTTAGTGAAATATATAGCTTTAATATTATATGATACATAGAATAATCTCAAGAAAATGGTCACGAGATTGCCAATTAGGACACAACTCCAAGATGCTTTTAAATGGCTGAACTTTTCCACTTCAAATATATTTAACAAGACCTCCATCTATTTGATTTCAATCTTAAAAGAGTTCTACGAAAATGAATCTCGTACATGCAATCAGTATAATAACCAACCTAGCTCATTTAAGTTTATAAAAAATATGTTCATCTTGTCCAGGGTATTTAATCAGTCATCAAGGCTACTGAAGCTTTACTCTTTCTGCTACTCACGCTGACAAGTATTGAAGTACAGCTGAGCATTTATTGTGCTCCACGTGCAGCAATACTGCGGCAAGGTTGCTGTGAATGAGTCCATTTTTTGGGCGCAATTCCAAGGCCTGGAAAAGAAACTTTACTATGAGCACGGTGATGAGGATGAATTTCCATCTTTTTGTTCATAAAGAGTGAAGTAAAGGCCTTCATTAGTTCATGTCAGCATCACTCACCCTACAAAGAAAATTATTAATTATGGAGCAGTTTTCCTGTACAGGATTATCTCAACTCGATTGGAAAAAATTTTTACTTTGCATGACTTATTAATAATTTCCATTCAAATTGTTACATTGCATTCAAGAAAGTTAAAGGCATGTAAAAAAATATTTTGAAATAAATTAATAAGTTAAGGTACAGAACAGGTCAGGTTGTGCCTTAGATCTTCTTGCAAAGAAGAGATGTTTTTAAGACTATATTATTTTCGAGCTGGTTCGAGATTGTACCCAAATAAAATTATTAACTAGACAATGATGGAATCATCAACCAAAGAAAGCATAGGAAATTAAATTTATACAAATGAATACAAAATTTAAGTAATATAATGTGATATACCTGCATGTAGTAGATAGCTGGTGAGGAGAAACAGGTAGGTTCCTTGGAAAACAAGCCCAAGTTAAGGCAATAGTAGCGTGAGAGATCACCCAGATGGCTAAGGCAGTGAACCAGCAAGTGCCACAGAGGTTTTTGACCAACAATGCTGGCATCAGGCAGATCTTCAATAAGTTTCAGATAGAACTTAATCCCTTCCTCTATGAAGAGACGAGCTGCTGCAGCTTCACATGTGTCCCATAGTTCTGGCTGTGTAAATAGTTGAAAAAGTTCAGTAACAGTACAGAAAAAAAGCTTTCCTCAAATTATTACAAATTTACATGTGTCAAGACAGCAAAAATCAGAAATTTCTGAAGTAACAATCAACTCACCTAGGGTTTAATAAATTAGTAATTTTTATCCAGTTCTCACATGAAAATGTAGGAAAAGTGAACTAATTAGAGAGGTTTAGACACATTCACACTAGTCAAAATCATGTAAACCAATTTTTATCAGTGGATATCCTACTAGTAAACTCCATAAAATTAATCATAAGTACCCAAGTAGCTAGTTGTTAAAAACAAGTATATAATACCAAAATGTATTTCATTATTTATACTGAAAGTGACAACCATGTCAAAATTGCCCTCAAAAAAATGTATAGAAGAAAATTACTAAAAAATCATTTGAATAAAGAACTATACCTATACTAATAATCATATGTTTATAAAGGGAAAATCATACCTTCTTAAGTTTCTTGGCTTTGGCAAGAGGATCATAATAAACCTTATACCAGAGCATATCATCACAGCGACTGATGCTCTCTAAGGAACCCTCATTTGCAGAGGCTTTAGCAATTTGATCTTTGCTTCCTTCATTTGCCTTAGCCAACTTGGCCAGAAGCCGTCTCATGAGCTGACTCCTCAACTCCAGACGTCCAGGCTTGGACATTATTGTCAATAAGTCCTCCACAGAACTCATCTTGACACAAGCATCAGAAACCTCCTTCAGAAACCTGCAAGTGGAAATGAAATTGTAGACTTCCACATCAATGATAGCACTTCCACAATAATTCAGCCCTTCATCTGTATTTTATATAAATCTAGGACTAGGACATGAAGCCACTTACAATCCTCAGACCAAAGTCACTGTCCCTGACAATTAATCCAGTTTATTTTTGTTGCCAACATTCCACACATAACAACTAATCTAATGACTTTTTAACACTTATGTTGTATTAATAATCAATTTGACTATGAAAATAACAAATAATATCATAATAATGATCTAACCACTAATGCTTCGTAAGTTATAAACTGGAAAACCTACCAACTAATGACCACTAATGTCTTCTGTCAATTTATTAGTGTCTGTCTGTAGGTGTCTGATGTCTCCTGTCATTATTCCAGCAAGTTCTAGTCAGAGTACTCTCAGACTAGTCCTGCCCTAGTGAGGAAAATATCTACTCTGTGAACAAAAACTGGTTTTATGAATATGCAAGCTGTGATTCCATTTATTTGAGCTGTGAATTCCATATCACAGCCATGAACAGCCATTTATGAGCCACCAACTCATTTGTAAAGTTCTGTGCATGTGTTACCCCATTACTCCAAATCTATAATTTTACCCAAGAAAAGGCAACAATAACATTTGTCTTCGCCCTTCACTTTAGAGGCCACTGAACACATGATAACACCATCTGACGTGAGTGTGACTGCAAGTGGCAACTATGCAATCTCTGACCAAACGTTTTGAGTTACCTTATTACCTAACTTGTAATGCAGGATATTTAGGCAAGAGTGTGGTACTAACCATAGTGGCAAAGCAGAGAGGTTTTTAGACTCCTTCAAGTTCTAGCATGGAATATATCTACTTGGCAAGCCGCGACTGAATTTTTCGAGCCGTGGTTTTATGGATTTGCCAGCCGTGATTCCATTTCTACGAGCCGTGATTCTATTTCACCGAGCCGTGAATTCCATATCTCGGCCATGAAAAGCCATTTACGAGGTGCGAATGCGAATTTATTTACAAAGTTTATGCACGTGTTACCCCAAATCTCTAATTTTACCCTTAAACAGTCAAACGGCAACAATAAAATTTGTCTCTACTGTAAGTTCAGCACGTGTTAATATACAGTCTGACCGCTTTGACATGACCGCAACTATGCGCGATCTTCAACAAACGTTTTGTTTATTTGTTTACATTACGATGTTTATGTTTTTTCTGCAAGATATTTTTGGCAGAAACGGTAAAGCAATGCGGATTGCGGAAGTTGAAAATTTTATGAAATGACATGTTAGCGAAGTGCAAACCGCGATTTTTTTAATCAAACAAAAATTTATGACATTCGAGCCGCGAGATTTCATACCTACTGAAATTATATGATATTAGAGCCGCGATATTTCAGACAAAAATAGGACTTTTCCAGACTAGTTCAAGTTCAATTTGAGTCCTATAAGTAGACCAGCAAAGTATCATGGATACCAGCATCATCATACATAAGATATTGGTTCAAATCTCAAATAAATGAGGAAATTTAAACTGAACTGATTCAAAAAAATTGATAGTTTGCCACTTTGGTACTAACTACTAACTTACTAAGTACTGCAAAAGTTGAAAATTTTTTGGAATGAAATATTTGTGAACCACAACTTCTTCAATCAAATAAAAATCCATGACATTAGCCCGAGGATTTAGAGCCACCGAGCACCAGCCACAAGATTTCATACCTACTGAAATTATATGATATTAGAGATAGATCTTTCAGAAAAAAGCAGGACTTTCCACAGCTAGCCTGCTAGGCCCTGTTTTTCTCATTTCAGTCATTTGTGCACCAGGCCTTGATTAGTTAATATAATACACTTCTTCACACATTCCTTCTCAAATTCTAATCCAACCAGAATCAGAAACAACAGTATTAAATAGTAAACTAAACACCAAGTTATATTTACTGGTAATTGCCACACTTCGTAGCTTGCACTTGCATCATCAGTTCATCACTGACGTGCAGAATGAGAATTGCATGATGCAACTCGATATACCTACGATTAACGATTACAATCGCCAAATTCGCCATACAAGGTTAACACGTTGGCCGCGATTGCTGATTTGGCCCGAATGCCGTATGGGCGATAGGTTCAAACTTGTATATCTTTAGTTACGCGGCAGATAGCAAGGAGAAAAGTTGTGTGCAGCTCTGCAGGGGTACGTTCTGTCATTGTATCACATAAAATAGGTGGCCGTATTTGGTGCACATCGCTCAGGGTTGAAATTTATCATTATTCCTGGCGATGTGTACCAAATGAAGCCATGCCTATTGTGGCTCATATTGGCTCACGTCGCCTATTGTAATCACTTCTAATACTATGGGCGATGTGTACAAAGCAAAGACGTGCATCTATATCTCATATTGCCGAAAAACGCCTAAAGTTATAACTTTTATTACTGTGAGTGATGCGCACAAGTAACCTATATTAGTTTTGAGTCATAATTGCACACATAATGACTACCGGTATCTCTTAGCTTTTTGTGAACGATGTATATTACGCATGGAAATTACTATGGAAAGAGATTGGTGTCCAGGTTTTCATAATTCTAAATAAAATTGAGGGTATTTACATTGTTAGTTCAGTTATATTTACCTTATAGAGATCATTCATCGTATATACTGTATTGTCTTGAGCTTCTGTTACAAGCAGCATCTCAGAGAGAGTAAAATCAGGATGTAGACATCAAATTATCAAGTGGGACAGAGGACAGCCCACTTTCATTGAACCAGCTAGAACAAAAACCAGGATGCGCTGCCATGAATGCTACAATATGCTCTCAGCAAATGAGGGAAGTGCCGTAGCAAAGGTGGAACTCGAATGGTAAAAAAATATTTTGATGACTGTGAAGGAAAACCATACATGTGCGATAATTGTTTTTCAATCACGAATGCAAGATAATGATGTTGGCAACACCCAGTGTTGTAGTTTCAGATCAATAAAAAAATATTTTATTTTGTTTTCATGCAAAGGAACATATATATATGGCTTTCATCAATGGACACAAATTTTGTAGTTTTTGTAATACTTGCATCTGAAAATAAGACTATTTCTTTAAGCAGTAGTTGACTTCAAAGCATTCCCTATCATACCTATTGAATTGTATCATTGAAATTTTAAATTTGAAAGAGTGATAAGATTTTATAAAAATATGTATTTTTCATTGGCATGTACCATATGTGTACACATCGCGATTCTGACAAGTACAGCGTGTACATATATGGCGCACATCGCGGCCAACGTGTTAAGATACAAGTCATATAACGCAACAAACAACTCTCTTCTTAACTTAGCTCTACTTACACATCCAAAGTACTTAAAGATTTCACCATTTTTGATGAAATTTTATGGTTAATTTGTAGCTCCATTTGTTCTTCGTCACGTAATGTGATTTAGACTTTCAACCATCCGACGCACTAAGACATGCTGACTCGAACACTCGTTCATCTTGAATGGCTATCTAACGCTGGTAAGCAAGTGTTGCCAAAGTAAAATTGATATTCCTTACAAACCATTCGACTTTTCTCCTGCTTGAACCATTCTATTTGGTGGGAATATATTGTTGATTTTTCGGAACTTCTCACGTAATTAACTGATATTCACTCCTTTGTAATTCTGATATTCATTTTTTAATTACACCTCTGAGAAGCAGTAATAATGAATTTGGTCGTGGAAAAGACACCTCACGCACGTTTTGTTTTTAACAACAGATTTTATCAGCCAGGATAAAGAGTGTGAAAAATCACGAGAGAAAAAAAGTATCCTCATTTTTTATTACATCAAATTAGGATTGCTTACTACTCAAAGATGTTATGAATGTCAAAGATCTGACGTCCTCCAAGATTACCTATGTTTCACGGAAGCATTCGGATTTGGGGCGTAGTGACCCTGAAAGAAACATTCACTTTCAGTAGTCAAGCCTTGACATTGGCTAACTGCCATGCATCAAGTATTCATTTATGGGTTAGGCACACTAGTTTGACAAGTGTTTGTATAATGCATATCATTACTAATTGAGACAGCAGTAACCACGTGAGACGGCATACACCATATATGATTATAAATTATAATATAATTATAAATATTTTTCTTTCCTGGAGAGTCCTCCTTCCTCTCCAGCGCAAACTCCTTCCTCTCCAGCGCATATAAATCATTTGGTTTGTTTTCTTAACTCGCAAGTCGACTACTCAAATATAATATTCTCGCTCAATAGGTACAGGGTGACACAAAAAAAACAGAGCTCACTAAAAGTCTTATAACTCCTGAAATTTTATTCAGTTTGAAACAAAAATTCTATGGAATTATGTACAACCTATGTAGCCAACATCTGCAAAATCTCAATTCTATACCACAAAAACTCTTTGTTCTACAGCCGCTCAAAGATATGTCTTTTGCTCTGTAGTCCAAGGCATCTCGAAGCTCACACGTGGTAGACTCTTAGATCAATCCGTCTTCTTAATGAATCTGAAACAAATAACAGGATTACTTGAGTATTGTGGAAATTATTCAACTTTTTATGAGCTCTGTTTTTTTTGTGTCACCCTGTATCTTATCGTCCACCATGAGTTATCGTCATCCTTACGTTATCGTCCATATTAGGCGTTATCGTCCACCATGCGCTGTCGTCCATCATGCGTCGCGTTATCGTTCACTATGCGAAATCGTCAACCATGCGTCCTCGTTTACTAGGCGGTATCGTCTACCATGCGTTATTGTCAACCATGTGTTATTTTCCATCATATACGTCATCGTCTTTCATGCGTTATCATCTACCGTGCGTGATCTTTCGTTTATCGCGCGTTCAAATACTTTTCAATGAAATAACAAATATGTCATTCTGAAAATTATGAACAGCATATATGCAGCGAAACTTAATATTAAATCAGTATGCGATCTGGGGAGGAAGGGGGAGGAGGAAGTCTCAGTAAACACTACCAGGCGTCAGTAATTCAAGAATAAAAATATAAATTTCAGATCTCGTCTTGACAGCGCCGTTGTTGCTCCGGCAATCATAGCAATTTGGTGAACGATCAATAGCTGCTCATCATGGAGGAGGCTTCAAATAAAACAGCGATGTTCTTAAACACTAATATTTCTAAGCTTGACCAAGTTATTTAAGAAACAAAGGAAATTTGTCTATCCCGACATTGAACAGATCTAAATTAGACCGCAAGAAGCCTGCCATTACGTACGTGTTGATGGCTGCGTGGGATGCCTTCAAACTTCCCTCGAGACCAAGGCTGTTGATTTGTTATTATGTTAACTATTGTCAACAATAAAACTATTCACTATATGTTATTCATTTTATTTACATTACTGGTACGATTGCATGGCCATAAATAGTGATGATACTCGTGTGAGGGTCAAATATTCATGAATTTATTTCGAGAAAATATCTACTAAAGTAGTAAACAATCAAAATAGTTCATCAACGGAATTCGAAATTAAATACATTTTAATTGCACTTCATCACGTACTCGTGTCACGCGGGACGTTCGCCAACGAACTCGGACGTGAATATTTTCATTTCCGACCTTTAATATTCCTTCGACAAGGTCCTGAATTCCTCATCCTCTACCGTACAGAAATAGTATCTAATTCTATCTACAATTATGCGAAAAAATATGCTGCAAAAAAAAGTTTATAGAAATCGCAACCAATCTGACGCTACTGAACACCACGATGAAAATTTTTGTATAAAAAATTCATCTTTAACTAATTTATTCTTACTTCACAGCATTAAAACTCCATAGTCTTCAACTGGATTCAGTATCGAATTTTCATAGATTATATACATAATGGTTAACTTTATTAATTAAATTCGTTTAAAATAACCACATGACTTGCCGGTTAGGTTGTTAATTGAGCTCAGCCTGCGCAGTTTAGTCGTGTTACCCAATACAATTCGGACTCAGACACATAGAATAGAATAGAATAGAATAGAATAGAATAGAATAGAATAGAATAGAATAGAATAGAATAGAATAGAATAGAATAGAATAGAAACTATACTATACTATACTATACTATACTATACTATACTATACTATACTATACTATGCTATACTATGCTATACTATACTACACTATACTATACTATACTATACTATACTATACTATACTACACTATACTATACTATACTATACTATACTATACCATACTATACTATACTATACTATACCATACTATACTATACTATACTATACCATACTATACTATACTATACTATACTATGCTATACTATCCTATAATATACTATGCTATACTATACTATACTAAAATATACTATACTATACTATACTCAGCTAACTGGTATAAGCCGACCGAAATTTGATTTTTATTTTACGCTATTCGAGTAGAAGAGCCAATCTGAAGTATAAAAAATAAGTCTTATAATTTAGCACCATTGGAAGATTCAACACGAAAAAAACAATTAAATTACCAAAGGGCGCAATAACTACAGAACAATAAGCAGCTTACGCAAAAATTTAAATTTTCTAATTATGGCCTTTATAATACAGGCCATAGAAATTATTAATTGAATAATTATTTCAAATTATGTGTAACTGGCAGACGTCTCAAGCAGTGTTATCAAATATTGGTAAAATCGATTCAGATTGAATGATTTCTAACTTATATTATGGAGGTTTTGCATCAGGATGCGAATAAATAGATGACGCTCACAGCTGTTCTCGTCAGAGACGCTGACATCAGAAAAAAAGGACAATTCAAATTGAAAAACTTTAAGCTCTCACGTTTTACTCATTATCATCGATCGCTTGGTTATTTACATGTGGTAACATTCCTCGATCGTTTGTTCCAGACTAAATCTATTATATTAAATTTACGGACAAACAACACGGTAGCAATTATGAGTCTGCGACAACTTTCACATAAGAAATAATGCATATACGTACAATATTCTACAGGAACATTTTAGTTCATCCTCTTAAAGTGATAGATTCCAAAGGGCTCAATGTTTGCTCTCATTTGAGACTCTCATGGGAATTAGCGTAAACCAAGGACTGGAATTACGTACAAGTGATCGCAATCGAATAAATTGTATACTTACTGGCCTTCTTCTTGACTAGTTCATATCAATGTCTACAAAAATTGACAAGAGATCACAACCCTCATTATTTCTTTACTTGACTTCATTATTTCTTTACGTTATCTAATCTGTTCATGCCAAACCCATGAGACCAATCAATCAATTAATAAACTATCCGCAGTTTAAAAAGGTTCCTCACAGCGCTTCTCACGTGGTTTCCACCTTATCAAGGCGGAGAAGCATGTTTCGCGGTTGAGATTAACTGTACGCTGCCGTTCATTACCAGATTCCTCAATCACCTTCGATCTAACGTCAGGCCCTGGACTCTCAGGTAAAAATAATACAGTCTCACTTTCCATCGTGTCGTCCTCTTCCTTATTTAAGTTGACATCTTCCGAGATTTGTTCCGGCGAACTTTCAGACTTGAGGGAAATTTGGCGAAAAACTCCGACGTTCACTGGCTTTTTCGCCATAATAGGACATAAGTTCCTGAATCTGTTGTTATTTCCTAGAGATATCTGGTCCACAGGTAAAGGTTGCATCGTGATTTTCACTTCATTACTAGAAGATGAAACTAAAAACACCTCCTCCATCTCGTTCATGTGCTTCATCTTTAGCCGCTTCAGCCGCTCATTTGCCCTCGCCTGGATCCGCGTCTCCCAAAGTCCCATAAACACGCAGCGGAATGAGGAGGAATCCTTTCATTGTTTATCTGCGGGAATTGAGAGCAATAAATAACATTGTCTGTTGGAATCAAGAGCAATAAATAACATTGTCTGTTGGCATCATGAGCAATAAATAACATTGTCTGAAGGAATCAAGAGCAATAAATAACATTGTCTGTTGGAATCAAGAGCAATAAGTAACATTGTCTGTTGGAATCAAGAGCAATAAATAACATTGCCTGTTGGAATCAAGAGCGATAATTGACATTATCTGCGGGAATCAAGAGCAATAATTGATAATTTCAATAATTTGAACGTTATTCGTCACTTAGAAAATAAGACTTGTTTCTATGTTAATCTGCGGGAATAGAAAAAAACGCCAATTGAACATATCTTGCAGCGAAAGCAGTCCTTTCGAGGTTTACCTGCAGATGCTAAACGTATGAAAGGTAAAAACAAACAAAAAATTTAATCGTTTATTAGTTAATAAAGTATCATGTTACCTTTTCTAATCGTACATAGTATCGGCTGAATTTACCATACCAGACCCTATGGTTCCCATAGCATCGCAGAAAATAAGGGCTTTGTAACAACCATTCCCCTCAAAAAACAATCCCGTATATTAAAAAGCATAATAAAACATAATGCCCTAAAACAAAAAGGCTGCAGATTTCAATAATACTTTGTTAGGACAGCGAAGGAGAATTGCACATAGATATCAACTATGCCATGGTGACATGAAAATTTGATATGAGTGCCAACATCCCACCTAAAAATGGAATATCGACAATACGCACAGCGTCATGACAAAAATACTCCTAGAAAAAGGAATTGTAACTCATCATAACATGCAAACATTCGACTAGTGATTGAAATAATGTCTTGGATTGATGTAATAAAACTAAAGCTAGTACTTAACATAACATCTTCGAAGTCCTTTACAAAACCCGCAACCAAAGTGGTAGAAACAACACCTTGAGAGTTTTCCTTATGAGCGTTATCGGGAGTAGTGGCGGTGGAGTTGGTGGAGGAGGGACGTTTGGCAGGGGGCACCTCAATACCGCGCTGCCTGCACCACTTGACGAGCAGCTGTTCCACCAATGGGTGGCCGAAGTTGCGCGCGTCGTCAAGGGGTGTTCGTTGCCACCGGTCCTGGTCAGCGCGGTGGGAGGTTATTTGACATGTTGTTTCTATTTTACAATACTTCTCTTTAACTTCACTTCTTGTTGTTTCTTTGTTTGTCTGTCTACTACAAATATTATAATCGATATTTAACACGCTTCTATCTCTTCAATCGATCTGAAATTTTGCACACTTGCGTAAAGTTGGAGACAATGCATGAATCAATTGACAGAATAAATAATTTTATAACTAAAAAAATTATTATTAAAAAATTGAAAAAATAATTTTGTCTGCTACAAATTTTATAATCGATATTTAACACACTTCTACCTGTCCAATGGATCTAAAAATTTGCACACATGCGTATAGTCGGAGACAATGCATAGATGAATTGACTAAATAAATAATTTTGAAAATTCAAAATTTTGTATATATTAAAAATGTTAAAATTTATTTATTTTTCAAATTTTAAAAATAAAATTAGAAATTCATTTAACATGTGTAACATCGGAGACACTGGATTTTTTAGAAGTGTGGTCTTCAACAAGCAATTTTTGAACATATATTATTATTATTGATGTTACTATATCAATTGAATTGCCAAAACCAGATATCGGTGGTATATTCTACGTTTTTCAATTTCTGGGTTTTCTATTTTAAATATTAGTCTCACTCGATTGATTTGAGAACAAATTGATTGAAAATTGTGGTATATTCAATGCTTGTAAGATTCTGTTATTTCTATGTTACTTTTGATATAATTGTTTTAGGGAGGTTCACTCATTGAGAACGGCACGCAATACCGCTAATTTTAAAGGGTTGCTCATGAAAGTAGTTCAAATGCTAACATCATGTGCACAGCATGCCATGCATAATCCATGTTCTAACATCATGCGCACAGCATGCCATTTAAATTCTATTTTAAAAAACGAATATTAGGAAAAATTGCCTTTATTTTGAAATAACCTGATGGGAATTTACAGCGTCTAACGAGAATTAAGAGGCCTATTAACATTGTCAAATATCACCCGTCTAGTTATGTATGTATAAGAGTTACTGATGTCACTGGAAAATTCTCCCCAATGAAGTTTTCATGAGTTATGTGAACTGTATTACTTCAAAGGATAATTAAATAAGACGACATTCCCGAAAACGAACTTCTCGAGCAGGAGTTAATATTCATGAAGTTGATATTTTTAGTTAATATTCATGAAAAAGGTACTCAAAATAGGCATTAATTAGCACACCTTGGGAGCAGGGTTGATCTGGTACTTCTCGAGTCTCGAGCAGTTTAATGAAGTTAATCATCATTCACAAAATATAGGCATTAATAACCACACCTTGGGAACAGGGTTAATCTCGAGCAGGAAATGAAGTTAATAATCATGAAAAATTCACACAATATAGTCATTAATTCCCGCACCTTGGGAGCAGGGTTAACCTGGCACTTCTCGAGCAGTTAATGAAGTTAATAAACATGGGCAATGCACACAAAATAGCACAAAATAGACATTGATTAACGCACCTTGGGGGCAGGGTTAACCTGGCACTTCTCGAGCAGGAATTCGACGACCTCGATGTGGCCCTCCGAGGCCGCGACGTGCAGCGCCGTGCGGCCGTCGTAGTCCGCAGACTCCAGGTCGGTACCCGCCAGCGCGTGTCTGCACATCACACCCCAGACGGATTGCATTAATTAATTACTAACTAATTAGTTAATTGCAATTATTGCATTAAATCTCCTTAATAAAAGTTCTCAGCAAAACCCAAACATTCATTAACAATTTCGAGAAATTCAAGATAATGTAAATTAAATTATACAAATCCAGGCAGGTCCAGATAAATCAAGTCACATCAAGAAAGTCACACGCAAAAGTAATCAAATTCAGATAGTGTGAAATAAATACAAACGATTCCATACATTTCCTGAAAATATCAACAATTCCAGACAATTTCAGGAATTCAGGAATCGCTATATATCATAAAATCGCTATATGTATAATCAGTGATATCATAGAATTAAAGACTTTAATTATATTTTATGGAGGATATAAGCGCCAGTGGACAATTATGTTATTGCGAAAAGATGATCAATAGTAGTTAACATGAGACAATGATGCAGAGATGCAGATAACAATGAGATGCAGATAACAAAAAAGGGATAACAGAAAAGCTATGATCCATTATCACAGGTAGGAGCAATGAAAAAGGGAGAAATAGCGTCAAGTTTCTAATAAGAATAAACAATAAAGATAAAGTTAAAAAGATAAACTTAAATTTTCCGTCAAACAAACAAAGGGTCGATGAAAGTAAAGCTACCTTCTATGAAGATGGAAATGAGAAAAGAAATTCAAAATTTCTAAGATCTGATGCCTCAATCAACGTTGAAAGAGAAATTATCAGATTCTAATGACACGTACGGAGTTAACAAATAAGATAGGAATAAAATAATGGAAATAATTTAATGCAATAATTATATGAATCGAAAATAATTATGAGAAAGTGAATCGATAATGAGAAAGGGAAGTGGAAAGTTATTCTCGTTTTGAAACAATTGAAAAAAAAAGAAATATATGAAGCTACCGATGGGACAATAGAAGACAGGAAAGTTATAGTCTTTCGTTAGGACGGATTACGAAAGGAAAGGAAATTAATTATTTCTTTCTTGTAGGAAATAATTAATTTGATGTCTTAAAGAGCTAAAAAATGAGAGTGTATATAAAAAATTTATCTTTTTACAATACAGAAGGCGCACTAGGAAAAGGACATTGAATATATTCGAAAAAATGACAACAAAGAGCAAAAAGTAGAAATTTAAGTTTTATGAGAGGCGAATAAAAAGAAAGAGATCAATGAAAAACTCAGTCTTTAAGAACAACGAAGGTAAGCTGACTTTTCGGCGAACGTAAAACCATATAAGGAAGGAGAACTGATGATTCAAAGCGCCGAGGTAAAAATTATAATTGCGAAAGTTAACATAATTTTTCTTTTGAAATAAGTAGAAATCACGAGAGTCATAAAAAATGTAACTCAGTACTCACTGCAGTGAGTGACAGAGAGCACATTTTCTCGTCGACGAAAACGTGAGGTCACGGACGGACGGACAGACGGACAGACAGACTTACGGACATGGCGAGCACAATAGTACATTTTTTCCATAAATGAGAAAATGCGCAAAAAAAGGAACGTTGATGACCTCCTGAGGGAGGAGACGTCGTTAGCGGCGACGCAGAAGAGGAGGTCGAAGAGGACCTGAGCGCTCGACTCGGTCCTGGTGACGCGGGGGTCAATCTTGGTGGAGGTGTTGCCCCGCAGGTTGTCGAAATGGTGGAACTTGAACAAGTTCACCAGCTCCTGCACAATCACAAGTGGAGGAACTTTAAAATGTTCAATAGCTCCTACACAATCACAAGTGGAGGAGCTTTAGAATGTTCCTCCACTGCACAATCACAAGTATGGAAATTGAAAAAAGTTCACCAGCTCCTGCACAATCACACGTGGAGGAACTTTAGAATGTTCAACAGCTCCTGCACAATCACAAGTAGTCGAACTTTAACAAGTTCAACAGATCCTGCGACAATCACAAGTGGAGGAACTTTAACAAGTTCAACAGCTCCTGCGACAATCACAAGTAATGATACTTGAGCAAGTTCAACAGATCCTGCGACAATCTTAAGTAATGATACTTGAACAAGTTCACCAGCTCCTAAATGATGGAGCATTAACAAGTTCACCTGCCATGCGGTTACCCATTACTTCTAAAGTAAAAGTCATATGTACATATAATGGGACTTCTCTGTATTTGAGGGTTTTCCGTTTTCTCAGATAAGCTATCTACGCCGTCGGAACGTCAGTTTGTAGTGTCAGCTTGTGTGAATGTCAGCAGCCTGAGAACGTTCAATTGAGTTCACTATCACTATGTATCAAACGATAACTCGAGTTCACGGTATGAAAGGAAAATATCAAAATTTCAACAGGTTCATAATGTTCTCACTGACTTGAAGGACTCACGATGAAAGGTCTGCTCTTGATGGGCCTTATTTAATGATTCGATCACAAAAAATAATTTTTGATGAAACAGCGCCAATTAGTAGAAAATGTCCAAATAAAAAATCTAAAAATCGATAACATAAAGTATCTGAATGAAAAATGAAGTAAACATGAAACTTCGAAAAGGTTTTAACTCTATTAAGCTACGATTGATTTACTATAATTAATATTTACGTTAGAAAGACTCACCGAGCAGAACTCGACGCCCCTGACGGAGTTGCCGTTCGCGTCGAGCGGCGGCGACCACAGGCAGAAGCCGACGGTGTTGGGCACCACCAGCAGGATGCAGCCCGACACACCAGACTTGGCGGGCAGCCCCACCTTCAGGACGAGACATTAGCGCCTTTGTCAGCAGACTTTCTTATTGTCACTAGTGTCTTTGTCAGCAGACTTTCTTATTGTCAATAGTGTCTTTGTCAGCAGACTTTCTTATTGTCACTAGTGTCTTTGTCAGCAGACTTTCTTATTGTCACTAGTGTCTCTGTCAGCAGACTTTCTTATTGTCACTAGTGTCTTTGCCAACAGACTTTCTTATTGTCACTAGCGTCTTTGCCGGCACACTTTCTTATTGTCACTAGCGTCTTTGCCAGCAGACTTTTTTATTGGCACCAGCGTCTTTGTCAGCCATCTGTCTTTATCTAAATACCGTCTTTGTGAGCCAATCTTGTCACTATCTCCTTCATTTTTGTCCTCACCTTGAAGGCGAACTGGCCCGAGTAGTTGTACATGCCGCAGGAGTGCATGAGGGTCAGGGTGTTGCGTACGGCCTCACACGTCAGCACGGGGTCCCCGGTTAGAGGGTTGATCCCACCGTTGGCGAGGGTCGCTGCCATCACAGCCCCGGACTCAGCAGTTATTTCCAGGCTACACAACTGAGAATGTTTTGCTATGGTTAGATTAAGTTTCAAGAGTGTTTAGCGAAAATAAATATTAAATTAGCATAACGATATCAGAGAAGAGATATTTCATAAGGTGTGCCTTAATCACGTCAAAGTTAAGCACTTAATTACGTGATATGAGTCAGCTGGCAAAGGCTTGATCGCTTACTCTGGTAAAACCGACATGTACTCTGTCGGTTTACTCTGCCAAATTTGCACAATTTTTTCTACAAATTAAGAGGTTATAACTTAGTCCAACTCTTCAGTTCAATAGCACGAATAAAGATACTGTGCTATAACGAGCTGTAAAACTTTAATTATGACACCGCGATCTGATTACAGCTCAATTTTCAATACTCTGAGTGAAATACTATATCACTAAATTCTAGCAAGTTAGTAGCAAAATTTTTAAAGAAAGCAGCCAGAAATTCAGCTTTGGTGCTTCACGGGATGAGTGCTCCTCCTGATCGAGGCGGTCGATATCGGAATGATTTCCTATCGTCGACACTCCTTCCTGATCAGAACAACGTTGACTTTCGTGACACTGTTTAGAAATGATTTTATAAAGTATTATGATGTATTTTACTTGGAAATAAAACTCGAGTGTTTCCTGGAGTTTGGTGCCCGGCGGGAAGCATTTGTTCTCGCGCATAAAGTATGCGAGGGCGAAGTTGCGGTCTGCGCACTCCTTCTCGGACAGGAAGACTGAGTTGTTGAAGCCGAGGTATTCACTGCCAGCCAGCCTCTTGTACATCTCGAGGATCTGGAGAAAAATGTGCCCGATTTACAGTGGCCATTCGTTCAGAATAACTTCGAAAAAAAGCAAGTGAAATAGTCACAAGTAGTAAATATGTCTTTTGGGTTTTAGCATTAAAAAAATCCAAGCTACTCCAATGACAAGCCACATCCCTGTGTTTGAAAATAATCGTATTACACTTTAAAATTCCTAGCCACTCCAACAAACTGATTACATGGAAATATTCCCAGCTGCTCCTACAACTGGTGGCAGCAAGAGGCTTGTGTTAGTGGCCAACACAAAAAATTATTACATGTAATTTCAATGAAAGGAACGGTGGTCGGAGATTAGAAAATATAGGGGTGTGCCGGAACTTATATTGTTTGCGTTTAGAAAGCAGCTTCTACTTTGATGAGGAACAAGGACACGTAACTAACTTGGGCACAATTCAATTCGCATGGAAAATACATTAGAATTTCCTATACGGCTATGTTTACGGTTACCCTTCGTGCTGCAGCAACATTCAATTGATTATATTTCCGTGGCGAAATATTTAAAAATCATTACTCAATTGCCGTAAACTCCACAAGTCGTGTCCTTAATTACTGAATTTTTGTAACATGCATAATTTATTACTTTGCTACATTGTTGTATCATGAACACAACGTAATATTGATACATGTTCAAAAAAACTGCGTGCCTAGCGTTGCTTCTTAAATTGAAAAAACATTTCGTCCGTTATAATCACGTGTGCAACTTCTTTTGTATAGGTGTTTACATACACAACAAAATATTGCTGTTGGGTGAAGATTGCGCGCACACATAATTATTGCTTTCACGTCGTGGTAACATGTACGCTTTATATTAGTTTGTACTCACGTAATCAAATCTGTCAGCGGCCGATAAGGTTGGCTAAAAGAGAGAAATAATGTATTGTTATTACTTCAGATATACTTTTACACGTGCAACAACCTTCCAATAGCACTTTCTATTTCAGATTTTTTAACAACTATATTAACGAGAAATTCAAATACTCGTTAACGAGAAATTCAAATTCGCATTGATCTATTAATATTTTTTTATGAAAAGAAACTAAGAGTTTCAATCATTTAATACTAAAAAATTTCAAATAAAATAGATATAGAAATGATAATTTGAGACCAAACGTCTCAAATTATTCAAATTATTAGTAATTATTGTTTTCTCATTTAAATTCAAATTCTCATATTATACAGGGTGTTTCAGAATTAAGTAACCCTTTTAATTTGTTAATAAATAAAAAACTAAGAACGTTATGAAGTTGAAACTTGTTTTATTTAAAAGAAGAACATTTTCATGGTAATATTGTATCATAGTTACGTCATTATCCTGTATAGCTTGCTAAATTTGTGTTTAATGATCAAGCCTTAAATTTTCATCATGATTTGCTACAGCAAAGAAGAAAGAACAAAAATTATCGCTACAGTCAATAACGATGTCAATAACAGAAGTTCAACGTGATTACAGGATCCATTTCAAAACAAGGACCCTTCAAAAAACACATTTAAATATCTTTATCGAAAATTTGCGGATATCAAAAATTTGCACTCTCGTCAGAAACACTAATGAAGGTTATGAAAGCAACGAAGAGAAGAGCCCTATTTTGTCAAAACAATTGTGGTGGGCATTTAAAAGATATTATATTTAAGAACTAGGATACAATATTACCATAAAAATGTTCTTCTTTTAAATAAAACAAGTTTCAACTTCATAACGTTCTTAGTTTTTCATTTATTAACAAATTAAAAGGGTTACTTAATTCTGAAACACCCTGTATATCTATTATTAGAGGACATCCTACAAGAAGAAAAATCTAATCGGAATGATATAAATTAAAAAAATTATATAAATAAACTGCATCGATTTCGTTCAAACAATGTGCAATGGGTTAATGTAAATAAATTATATGAAATTAATAACACAATAAATTAAACTAATAATGACCCATAAACAATACAACCATGCATATAACCTAAAACAATATACTACCTTCGGAGTCCAGCTCCATCGTCAGTTCATAACACAAAATTCTGTTCAGAAAAAGTTATGTGTTAGTGTTAGTGAAAAGTTAGTGAAAAGTGTTATGAACTGACGATGGAGCTGGACTCCGAAACGTTTTCTCCTATAAAGATATGGTGAATTTTTATGGTATTGTCTTTGCTTTTAAATTCATGTTTAACTTGCGATTTACGCAAACAAGTGATTTTAATACTAATATTCTACCTTGATGAGAGCCGCTGTCAGAATAGCTCCTGAGTTGATCATAGGATTATGGGGCTTGTCTGTAAGAACATCATAAATATATATTAAATTTTATACATTGTGATTATTTATTGTGTTCGTGTAAATAAATATAATTGAAAAAAGTGCCGATGCGAGTATCTGGTCTTGCACAAACTAAACTGATGATTGCATCGTTTGTTTACTAAAACTTCAAATATTTATTATGAAGACATAACGAAGACATAAAAAATAAATTAATTAATTTCATAATAAGGATAAAGAATATAACTTACTTTTATAATCAAGACAAAGTTCGTTGAAAAATCTCCCTGATGGTTCAAAGCCAATGTATTGATGCATCTTTTCAGGGCCGTTTTCAGCACAGGCTATTGCGTACGTTAGAGGCTTGCTGCGACGGAACAAAGACAAAGATTTTTTTAGCTTTATTTAGTAACTTAGAGGCTTTTTAGAAATAAATTGATATAAGTAGTGTTTTATGGTTATAATTTATTTAGAAATAAATTGTAAAAAGTAGTGATTCATGGCTATAATTGATTTATTATACCCACAGCGACGATGAAATTAGCGAATGTTTTGTTAAAATCAAAAAATACCTTTGGCAAATTTATCATCATTAATACTACTTAACTTATTAATTAATTATTCCATTAATACGACAAATGCAATAAGTGCTTTCTTATATTGATTTGCTGAACAAAGAAAATTGTTTTCCCGGTCAGCTGAACTGATAAACATGGTCGCAATTCAGCCAAAATGAAAAATTCTTATAACACAAAAAACATTTTCTTAAACCTGATGGACTGTAACATTGATCTAAAGTTTGTTTTCTATTTGAAGAATTTCAGTTATTTATTTACACTGTTAATCAGTGGCGTATGCCTGAAGTGCATGTGGGCTATAATGGAATAAATGTTCCAATAAAAAATAGCATATTATAAGATCAGATATTTTCGATCAGATTTTTTTCCTGGCTTAAAATAAAAGAAAACGGTAGATAAATTCAACATATCAAAAACGTTTCGGAGATCAGCTCCATCGTCATTTCAAAATTATATCGTCATTCTGCAAAGAAAAGCCATATTTACAATAAAAAGATTGAAATACAAAAAGATTGAATTACAATAAAGAGATTGAAACCTGGGTTCTGATAAACCGGCCACGGAATATCAAAATTTATCGACTAACAATTTCAAGCGAATAATTACGATAGGTATAATTAAGGCAAGGTTTCCGTGTGAAAATATAAGAATGTTCGTTACTTTGTCGCTCGGAGCTGATGATGGAGCTGGACTCCGAAACGATTTCGGTAAAGATTTAGGAAATTTAAATGTCGTTTTCTTTGCTTCTAAGACCTTGGAGAACTTGCGATTAGAGCAGTCTAAGATGTAACAATTTTGAGTTTTTACTGGCATATATTGAACTTTTTTGCTTCTAACTATGGAATTTTCCATGAACCATCACAAGTTAGCTGTGGACTTCAATATTCAATTCAATATCCTATTGTAAAATCATATAATCGTAAATAATTATTGAACTTTTTTGCTACTAACTATTGAATTTTCCATGAACCATCATAAGTTAGCTGAGGACTTTGTATCTGACCTGCAGGACTGGATGGTGAAGGACTCCTTCACGTCCCCAACAGAGTAGCGTTGCCCGTCCACCGTGCACATGGACACCGCCCAGAACTTGGGGTTCTTGTTCGCCAGTTGGGGGATGTACTGAGTGGTCTGTGGGCGTGAACAAGTTATTTATTTAGTTGGTATTAATTTAGTTGATATCAACAAGTCATTTATTAAGTTGGTATTAATTTAGTTGGTATTAATTTAGTTGATATCAACAAGTCATTTATTAAGTTGGTACTAATTTAGTTGGTATGAACAAGTCATTTTTATTTAGTTGGTATTAATTTAGTTGATATCAACAAGTCATTTATTAAGTTGGTATTAATTTAGTTGGTATTAATTTAGTTGATATCAACAAGTCATTTATTAAGTTGGTACTAATTTAGTTGGTATGAACAAGTCATTTTTAAGTTGGTATTAATTTAGTTGGTTTGAACAAGTCATTTATTAAGCTGGTATTAATTTAGTTGGTATGAACAAGTCATTTATTAAGTTGGTATTAATTTAGTTGATATCAACAAGTCATTTATTAAGTTGGTACTAATTTAGTTGGTATGAACAAGTCATTTTTAAGTTGTATTAATTTAGTTGATATCAACAAGTCATTTATTAAGTTAGTATGAAAAAATCATTTATTTACTTGGGATGAAAATCAATGGTTATGTTGAACGGTAGAACGAGCCATATTAGTCGTAGGCATTAAAATCAATGTTGATAAATAAAATATGGTTCAAAATGTACGGAACAAAAGGGAAATCCGTGTCATTTCATGGATTTTTTTATGTCCAGGTTTTGCGTAGAGTCAAACAATTATTATGAGACATGTCTTGCATTTTAGTGTTTCACGGATTATTATTTTCGAAAAATTCCGAGTGAAATATTAACCAGCGTAATTATTCTCACAATTCAATAGTTGTTAATATTATTGATGAAATACTAATTTTGAGCTGAAGTGCGGTATGCAAACTCACTTGTCCGTTTTGGTTGTTCTTGCATTGGTGATAAATCTTGTCAATGTCGTCACAGAATGAACGGAACTCCGGGATGACGAAGGAGTGGCTGAATGCGCGAACCACTATCTCAAGGTTATCAGAGATGATCCTGAGTGCATGTAAAGGATTTGGCTGCCGTATGACAATTTTTAAGTGCGCAAATACATAGAGTTTCGAAAAATATTCAGCTCACATCCACATGAAAGCCTCACAAATTAATGCCAATTATAATTTTTTATTTTTAAACTACAAAACTAATCGTCTTCTTGATCATCATGTCTCACCCCATGAAGGTCTAGTAGTTAACAATGAGAACTTCATTATCTTGACTATCATGTCTCACCCAATGAAGATCTGGTAGTAAACAATTCGACCTTCATTATCTTGCCTATCATGTCTCACCACTTGAAGGTCTGGTAGTAAACAATTATACCTTCATTTTCTTGACTATCATGTCTTACCCCTTGCAGGTCTGGTAGTCAACAATTATACCTTTATTATTTTGACTATCATGTCTCACCCCATGAAGGTCTGGTAGTAAACAATTCGACCTTCATTTTCTTGTCAATCATGTCTCACCCCCCTTGCAGGTTTGGTAGTAAACAATTCGACCTTCATTTTCTTGACTTCATGTCTCACCCCTTGCAGGTCTGGTAGTAAACAATTATACCTTCATTATCTTGCCTATCATGTCTCACCCCATGAAGGTCTAGTAGTAAACAATTCAACCTTCATTATCTTGCCTATCATGTCTCACCCCATGAATGTCTGGTAGTCAACCAAGAGGCTGTCGTCATCGACTTGGTTGATGCGGTTCTTCACTTCCTCGACGTTCTCGTACATTTCCCGCAGCCTTGGGTCATCGCTCCGCAAACCTGTCGTCAGGAGGCCCTGGTGTGCAGTTCAATATTTTATGTAACTTCTTGTGATATATTTCATTTCATGTCATATGACATTTCAGTCATATTTATTTAATGTATCTTCAAGGCAAAAAAGGCTTGGGTGTAGGTAGAGCACCATGCAGTCTCAGGAAATAAAACAAAAAATATTTAGGATTAAGGATTTAAAATATTTAGGATGAGGATTTAAATACTCAATTCAAGCCCATCTTCAATTTATGCATAGTACAATGTTCTGTACTGTGCAATGTCAATATATGTACAATGTTCGCGGGAGTGAAAAACATTCAACTATACTATGGATACTCTGAGAACGCCTTTTGAATTAATTCTCTATTTTAATTTAAGATTAGATACTCACTGCTAAGAATTTCTTAACATTGATGGTCTTTGTCTGCTTGTTGCCAAACATTTCGAATAGTCGGGTCTCCACGTCCGAGAAATGCAGCTTAACCAACCTGTAAACGAAATACAATTAAGGTTCGAAAGGAATTTAAAAGCAAAGAAAACGCCAAGCAAATTCACCATATCGATATTGAAAACGTTTCGGAGTCCAGTTACGAAGGTTCATTCCCCAGTGTTGCGTTTGTGTTAGTAGCAGTTGATTCATGCAATTTCGCCAAATTATTCATTATATTATAAGATTTGTTCAAGATTGATTAAAAGATGTCATTCTTATTTTGAACTTCATACGAGTTTAGTTGCTCTAGCTGTCTAATAAATAGTCGGTTCAATTATTGGGTGAAAAAATTTCAAACGAGAGATGTATAATATCTGGCGATGCGTCTCGCTAAGCCTGAGCATCTTCAGGGCATAAAATGGAGCAGCTGAGTAGATGAGGAGCTTCATATATGGCTGCTGGAGAGATACAAAGTTGAATTTGTGAATGGAATGTGAGTAAAGTTCTTGCACAGTACAGGTTACAGTCGTTGTAGTTGTGAAGTCTCAAAGTGCGTGGAGGTCCAGTTGATTGGTTGTTCAGGGATGGATGATTGCACTTGATCAGAATCACATCCACTATTTGTAGTCTGATGAAGTTCGGTTCGTTACGTAGAATTTTTGTATTCTGTACAAGTTCTTTCCGGGTTAATTTGGTATTGGGTGTGATTGTCCATTGCACGGGTTTTTAGTCGTCCTCAAGCTAGATGCATTGTGAGTCATCTTGGTAGGGTTGTAGTTGTCATGCTTGGTTGATGATGATGAGGCTATGAGACTTGTTGAGACTTTTTGACTCAAATATTGTACTAATTATTAGAGAGCTAAAGAAACTAAACTGTAACGTTCTAAAAAATTGCATTCTTTTATAAAAATTCAACTAAATGTTGAATTTTTATAAACTATTATATATTATATAATTATTATATATAATTATGTAAACTAAAAAATAATAAACTGCTCTGCCGCAATTTATTATTTTTTGCATATTTAACGCGGAAATCTTTCTTCTATTGAATTTTCACTCCACCCAGCAACGTATCTCTTTCAAGTGACGAATGCTGGTCAATCTTAATTTCTTTTTGCCAACGGAAGAACCTTGACTGTTACCAAAGGTCACTGGACGGCCAAGCGCTAGCCATGGACAAGCAACAATATAAGATACCATTAATAAAATCAGTACTTCGACCTTTCTTGCCGACATTTCTTGTTTGCATCCAAACGTGATTCGAAGTTCAATTTACAACTGTGATTTGGTAATCTGACGAGAAAACTCCAAGGCTACTGAAAATATAAATTTAAAACATTTGACATGAAAATATGAGTGTTACGGATAAATATCTAAATATTAGCGACAAGTTTGATTGAAGTACCAAATTACAAATATCAAATCCAGACGCGTTAACCCTCATATTTTATTAGTGGGAACAACAAACTTACTCGACGCAAGAAGACACCGATCGATTGATTTTCGGCTTGGGAAATGAAATGGGTTTACGTAAATGTGGATGAAGCAGAAGAGGGTCCATTCTAGGTTTTGGCATTCTTTTTTCAATTGATACGTCTTGAGGAGCACCAGAGTCTTGTATATGTCGATCCTCTTTTTGACATTCAGCTACAGATGAGCTACCACTTTCATCTTTATCCAGCTCTCGCATTGTTTTTAACTCAGCATGATATTGTACATCCTCGTTTCCTGATTCTTCTTTCTCTACACCCTCTTCATCTTCGTCTCCTAATTCCATATTTGCTTTTATCTCTGCTTTATTATTCGCATGGTGAAATGAATTTGAAGGCGTATAATTTCCATCGAAAGAATAAACTAATTTATGGAGGTTCTCTTCAGAATTGAAACTGTCGAAGGTTGGCACCGCGAGAGACGTCGTATTGTTCGATGTAAGTCTTGATATTTCCTCCACTCCATTAATTGTTCTAATACTTGGTATCAACTTTCCTTCTTGTATTTTTTCTCCTACTTGACCACATGGCTCTATTCTTTGACAAAAACCTGGATGACTTTTTGAGCATTTTGTTGATGCAGATGATTTTTTAAAACTATTATTTGTTAGGGTTTCGTCCTTACATCTCATGTTTCTATTGACAAAAAGTCTGGGAGAACAATCTGAGTCGGAAATTTTATCGAATGTTACATCAGATTCGAAGGTAACTGAATGCCTCACAGAATGACATCGCGGACAATTGAAATTATTTCTGTTGTTGCAAACTTTATTTGGTTCGGTAACGGAACTATCTGGTAAATCACTGGTCATGCGGTTCATCAGGCAACTTTTAATAGGTTTGCCATTGACGAAGCAATGGCAGGCTGCTTCTGAAGTGTTTGGAGATGTGATCAGATCCTTGCGTTGTTCGCTTCTTCCAAAACATTCTTTTTGTGGAGGATTGGAGACATTGTATTTTAGAGCGTATGTTTCCGCTGCGCAATGTAAATCTAATTCCGGGTAGTTTGAGATTGTTTTATTGGAGTCTACGCAATCATGCCAATTGCATTTAATGGCTTTGGTGCATCGTTTATCACGCTTTTCAATACTTTCATCAGTTGAATCAACACCATCACTAAATTGCACTTGATTCGTCCCGTTTGTCGTTGCTGGAATAAACGGTGAAGTCACGGCCCCGAAAAACGGGTTTTGTTCTTGAGAAATATCATCTTCTGAAGTTAGGATCTGCGAGTTTGCATCTCGGGAGGAACCTTCCACCTTTGCAACGCCATTAGATGAAAGGCTATGTTTCTTGTGGGATGCGTGAACATCAGCAAGACATGCACAATTTTTGATAGATGATCGGCGACGGTGAACAAACATCTTGTTTTTCCTCATGCCGAAACTTTTTAGGCGGATCAATAAGAAGTGTAGCGTATTTTGATGTATAGATAGCTCCAGGGAGGGAATTTCGGAAGCAATTGAGCGCAGTGATTGAAATGAGAGTTTTTTCAAAGTGTTTCTTTACCCCTGGCGAAGGGATTTTTTTTCAACTTTCTGAAATGGTTCATGGTTCCAAATGAGATTGGAATGGGTTTTAGACACAGGTTCGTTATGGCAGCCTCGAGATGTAGTTGGTCGCCAGTTTTTCGTATTAGCATCCGTTCAATAAATTTTAATGGTAGAAATTTGCAAAATCTAAAAAAATTCCTGATTAGATAAATAGTTTACTACTATTTTTTTAGCTGAAGCTTTTACGATTATGTCTCCAATTATTATTTTTCAAATTATTGCCAGGAGAAGTACAAAATTAAATTTACTTTTGAATTGTTACTCAAACAGTAACTTTCGCACAATAAAAAGCAAAACTGTCGGAAGCTAATGATAATACTTATATATAAACATTGCTCAATTTTATCTTAATTTCTTTACATTTTGGTATACACACACGGGCACAATGACCGCAACCCCGCCCGAATGCGATCCACAACCACAACTGTGGTCCTTGAGGGTCTACACTCACAACTGTGGTCCGTGAGAATAGACCTTGCCTATGACAGTGTGACACTCCTGACGTTCAGCTCAAGAATAGATCACTTAACGCTCTGCCCGCTGCATTAGTCAGCATGCTGACTACCTTAATTGACACAGCAACCTTGTTTGGGTTTCGATTTTTTTTCTAATTTTAGTGCTATGAGACAAACACGGGAAAAATCCACGCGCAATCGTAATGTTTTTTTGTGTTAAAAGTTACATTTTCCCTCATTAATTCTGTGGAAATAATTATGCGGAAAATTTACCTTATTCAATTTTATTAAAAAAAATTTCTAAAATAAATTTTCTTCCATTCAAATTTTCAGAATGGAGTCTCTTAAATTCCCAGATAGAATTTTCTAGAGGAAAGAAAATTTTCAGGAGGAAATTTTCTAGAACTATTCTTTCTTAATGAATGATGTAGGATAAATACAGCATTAAAATGCCTTATTTAAGTAAACTGGCGTAGAATGTACCTGGCGATATCTTTATATGCATAAATATGGATATAATTAGCATATTTTTTTCATTCCAAGACTCATTCACGCTCCTATTCATTTACTACTTTACTAACTGACAATAATGATTAACTCGAACTTTCAATCGCCCCTTACATTATTTTACTTTCACGCCGGCACTCTTGCAAGCACTTTCTCCCTCGTTCACTCGTTTTCTCCCTGACTCATCTTCTCACTCACTTTCTCACCGACATTTATGCAGACTTCAGCACGCATCCACTCTGATTCCGTCACTTTTTAGCGCATTTTCTCATTTATGAAAAAAATGTACTATTGTGCTCGCCATGTCCGTCTGTCCGTCCGTCTGTCTGTTTGTCCGTCCGTGACTTCACGTTTTCGTCGACGAGGAAATGCGCTCTCTGTCACTCACTGCAGTGAGTGCTGAGTTATATTTTTTATTTACTCATTGACTCACATACCCACACTCAACGAGATTCTCAAGGTCATGTTCAAAAAATAGGGTTTGCGTCACAAAAGCTTGGCACTTGCGAAGCGTCATGGGTTATTTAATGTGGTGGCTTCTTCATTTTTCTTATAACTTTATATTTATTGGAGTAATTTGAACGAAATATTACTGTAATTTTGATTAACTTGAAAGCTACTCTGGATAATACGGCATAATTCAACCGCTAAAGAGCTGCTGGCGTTAGAGTTATCATGTTAAAGTATCCCTCGTTTCTTGTATGATTCTCTCGTATAACTCATAACCAATGCCCAGCTAAATATTTTTAAAAAGAAGGCAAGCCTCGGAACTACAATACAAAGATAACACCATGGAATTACAATGCAAAGCCAAGATGCATTCGTCTTACTTTAATGTAATACTCGGTAACTCAACGTAACTTAAATCATTTCCCAGATAACTCTATGCAGTTTCTTGTTATTCACAACATTTGTCCACCCAGTAACGCATGAAATTTTACGTGATTGCAAGCGCGTTACCAAAACGCCGCGCACAGGCAACCGCGTTACCACAACGCAGCGCGCAGGCAACCGCGTTACCACAACGCAGCGCACAGGTAACCGCGTTACCACAACGCAGCGCGCAGGCAACCGCGTTACCACAACGCAGCGCGCAGGCAACCGCGTTACCACAACGCAGCGCGCAGGCAACCGCGTTACCACAACGCAGCGCGCAGGCAACCGCGTTACCACAACGCAGCGCGCAGGCAACCGCGTTACCACAACGCAGCACGCAGGCAACCGCGTTACCACAACGCAGCGCGCTGGTAACCCCGTTACCATACTCCACATTCAACACTACTTTATGAATATTTCAAACATATTGCAGATAAAAACATCACCTAAAACGCATTACCAACTCCATTATCGAAGGCGTTTAAAAATACATATATGAATCCTACCTTCTCCTTACCCATTTACCTCAATCAGTTACACTTCCACCTCACGTTTGACATCACTACACGAACTCGAAAATTTGCCCAAGAATATTCATGCACAAAACTCTAACGTGTGAAGAGAATTGATTATTCACAAGACATACGCCATCCATCTCAAACTCGAATGACTCGTGTGAGACACGTTCGGATCCGAAATCTTAATTCATTCTATTGCCTTACAAGTTGTACATCGATCACCGCTACATATAGATTGTCCTCCTCGACGACAACATAGATTAGAAGAGTACGATGTAGTGGTAAGCATTCTTCTATTATCAATTTTCTAACTGATTTTTGTTCGTTATTCATGTATTCATGTATATATGATTGTGGTCCAGAGGAATCCGTAGATTACATTCAGAGAATCGGTTTTACTGGTGTCCATTAATTACTGTACCATAACCCACACTGGCATTGTGTGTATGTTTGTGTGGTGTCAGTTAGTATATGTTAATATTCTATCGTGTTATCCGGTTTGTCTTTTATTCAAAGTACATATATTCTAATAACGTTTTGTATATATTGATCAGAACGGATTAATCTGTATATATTTTAGTCATCCGATTCGTCTTATCTTTTATTCATTTTAGTTTTGTTATTTATTACCAGGAGTCTGGACCGTGAACCAAATCTATTATATATATATAGAACATACGCACTAAGGATAAACTGACACGTTATTATACAAAGGATATATACACCTGAGAACCTCAGGCCTATACTTTCAAAAAAGTTAAGAGATCGTAAATTCATCAGCCAATCATTGACGGCCTTTCAAGCAAAATCCACCAATCATAGACAAGAAAATAGAGCGTAAGTACTTACGTTCACTTGGCGAATTTTAAAAGTATGGCCCCCTGGGGCGGATCCTCAACAACGCACGCATTTTTTAGTTAAGTCACGTTGTGAGCAATCACAATTTAGTTCTTAATTTTAGAGAGGATGGACACATAAGAAAAAAAATCAATAGTAGAAAGAGAGATAGCGACAGGACTCTTCATAAGATTACAATTTAAGTATTAAAATAATGACAAAAAAATCGATAGTAGAAAGAGAGATAGCGACAAGACTCTTCATAACATTACAATTTAAGTATTAAAATAAAGGAAAGAGCTAATAAAAAGGAAAATATACGCTTGATAAATATGATCAAATCTACAAAATGTGACGACAAAAAAATAGAAACGATTAGAAAATATTTGAGTTTTAGGGATGAAATCGAAATACCAGCATGATAAGAGGAGCAAATCTTAAACAAAGATATCAAAAATGTACAGAAGGAAATAATAAACAATTTTCAAACCCAAAATCATAATATATTAAAAAATATGTAACTCAGTACTCCCTGCAGTGAGTGACAGAGAGCGCACTTTCTCGTCGACGAAAAAAAAAGTCACGGACAGACGGACTTGGCGAGCACATTAGTGCATTTTTCCATAAATGAGAAAATGCGCTAAAAAGGTCAGAGATGTTTGAATAATTGAGGTACTCACTCGTAGACGTGTGAGGAGACCATGCTGGACGGTACTCACTCATAGACGTGTGAGGAGACCATGCTGGACGGTACTCACTCTTAGACGTGTGAGGAGACCATGCTGGACGGTACTCACTCATAGACGTGTGAGGAGACCATGCTGGACGGTACTCACTCATAGACGTGTGAGGAGACCATGCTGGACGGTACTCACTCATAGACGTGTGAGGAGACCATGGCGCTCTTGCGACGCTCTCTTTTCTTGGGCTCGTAGCCGTTGCTGTCTGAGGGCAGACACCCGACGAGGTCCGCTAGGAAGGTAAGGGCAGAAAATTTCAAAGTAATTTATGCGCACGAAATTAACTGGAGATGTTAAATTAAATCTTGCCATTAAATTCAACTGTCACTAATTCTATTGTCAAAAATATGTTATGAAAGATGTAATTTAATGTTCCCTAAATTTTACGTAAGACAATAAATTTACATACAATTCACTTAAAATATACGTAATTGACATGTTTCATGATATTCGATCGTGTTTTGATATTCTATTGTTATGACACGTGTCATGGAAAAGTCATGAAATTAACTGATCTCATCGAGGTGATCTCAGGCGAACAGCAAAAAATAAATATGTGCATGTGAGCAGCAACAGAAACGAGGAAGGGACTGGTGAACAGTAACAGAAACGATGACAATCGTAACCCATACCTTCTATACCTCCTAGAGGTATGAAGATACTTCTATCCCT